GTTGTTGCTATCTTGTACAGCAGATTTTAGTCTGCTGTTCTAATTGCCATTCAATACAATGTTACTATCTTGTACAGAAAATATTTGCCTGCCGTTCTGATTGCTATTAATAACAATTGTTGTTGCTATCTTGTACAGCAGATTTTAGTCTGCTGTTCTAATTGCCATTCAATACAATGTTACTATCTTGTACAGAAAATATTTGCCTGCCGTTCTGATTGCTATTAATAACAATTGTTGTTGCTATCTTGTACAGCAGGTTTAGTCTGCTGTTCTAATTGCAATTCAATGTAATGTTGCTATCTTGTACAGAAAATATTTGCCTGCTGTTCTGATTGCCATTTAAAACAATGTTTGTTGCTATCTTATACAGCAGATTTTTGTCGGCTGTTGTGATTGCCATTCAAAACAATTGTTGTTGCTATCGTGTGTAGCAGATTTTGTCTGTTGTTCTGAATGCCATTCAAAACAATGTTTGTTGCTATCTTGTACAACAGATTTTTGTCTGCAGTTCTGATTGCCATTCATAACAATTGTTGTTGCTATCTTGTACAGCAGATTTTAGTCTGCTGTTCTAATTGCCATTCAATACAATGTTACTATCTTGTACAGAAAATATTTGCCTGCCGTTCTGATTGCTATTAATAACAATTGTTGTTGCTATCTTGTACAGCAGATTTTAGTCTGCTGTTCTAATTGCAATTCAATGTAATGTTGCTATCTTGTACAGAAAATATTTGCCTGCAGTTCTGATTGCCACATATAACAATTATTGTTGCTTTCTTGTACAGCAGATTTTTGTCTGCAGTTCTGATTGCCATTCAAACATCTTGTACAGCAGATTTTTATTGGTGGCTCTAATTGCAATTCAAAACAATTGTTGTTGTTATCTTGTACAGCAAATTTTTGCCTGCCGTTCTGATTGCCATTCATAACAATTGTTGTTGTTATCTTGTACAGCAAATTTTTGCCTGCCTTTCTGATTACCATTCAAAACAATTGTTGTTGCTATCCTGTGTAGCAGATTTTGTCTGTCATTCTGAATGCCATTCAAAACAATGTTTGTTGCTATCCTGTGTAGCAGATTTTGTCTGTCGTTTTGAATGCAATTCAAAACAATGTTTGTTGCTATCTTGTACAGCAGATTTTTGTCTGCCGTTCTGATTGCCATTCAAAACAATTGTTGTTGCTATCTTGTACAGCAGATTATTGTCTGCAGTTGTGATTGCCATTCAAAACAATTGTTGTTGCTGTCATGTATAGCAGATTTTTGTCTGCCGTTGTGATTGCCATTCATAACAATTGTTGTTACTACATGTATCTTGTATAGCAGATTTTGTCTGCCATTCTGATTGCAATTCAAAACAATTGTTGTTGCTATCTTGTACAGCAGAATTTTTGTTTGCCATTCTGATTGCCATTCATAACAATTGTTGTTGCTATCATGTACAACAGATTTTGGTCTGCCGTTCTGATTGCCATTCAAAACAATTGTTGTTGCTATCCTTTACAGCAGATTTTGGTCTGCCATTCTGATTGCCATTCATAACAATTGTTGTTGCTATCATGTACAGCAGATTTTGGTCTGCCATTCTGATTGTCATTCATAACAATTGTTGTTGCTATCATGTACAGCAGATTTTGGTCTGCCATTCTGATTGCCATTCAAAACAATTGTTGTTGCTATCATGTACAGCAAATTTTGGTCTGCCGTTCTGATTGCCATTCAAAACAATTGTTGTTGCTATCATGTACAGCAGATTTTAGTCTGCTGTTCTAATTGCCATTCAATACAATGTTACTATCTTGTACAGAAAATATTTGCCTGCCGTTCTGATTGCTATTAATAACAATTGTTGTTGCTATCTTGTACAGCAGATTTTAGTCTGCTGTTCTAATTGCAATTCAATGTAATGTTGCTATCTTGTACAGAAAATATTTGCCTGCAGTTCTGATTGCCACATATAACAATTATTGTTGCTTTCTTGTACAGCAGATTTTTGTCTGCAGTTCTGATTGCCATTCAAACATCTTGTACAGCAGATTTTTATTGGTGGCTCTAATTGCAATTCAAAACAATTGTTGTTGTTATCTTGTACAGCAAATTTTTGCCTGCCGTTCTGATTGCCATTCATAACAATTGTTGTTGTTATCTTGTACAGCAAATTTTTGCCTGCCTTTCTGATTACCATTCAAAACAATTGTTGTTGCTATCCTGTGTAGCAGATTTTGTCTGTCATTCTGAATGCCATTCAAAACAATGTTTGTTGCTATCCTGTGTAGCAGATTTTGTCTGTCGTTTTGAATGCAATTCAAAACAATGTTTGTTGCTATCTTGTACAGCAGATTTTTGTCTGCCGTTCTGATTGCCATTCAAAACAATTGTTGTTGCTATCTTGTACAGCAGATTATTGTCTGCAGTTGTGATTGCCATTCAAAACAATTGTTGTTGCTGTCATGTATAGCAGATTTTTGTCTGCCGTTGTGATTGCCATTCATAACAATTGTTGTTACTACATGTATCTTGTATAGCAGATTTTGTCTGCCATTCTGATTGCAATTCAAAACAATTGTTGTTGCTATCTTGTACAGCAGAATTTTTGTTTGCCATTCTGATTGCCATTCATAACAATTGTTGTTGCTATCATGTACAACAGATTTTGGTCTGCCGTTCTGATTGCCATTCAAAACAATTGTTGTTGCTATCCTTTACAGCAGATTTTGGTCTGCCATTCTGATTGCCATTCATAACAATTGTTGTTGCTATCATGTACAGCAGATTTTGGTCTGCCATTCTGATTGTCATTCATAACAATTGTTGTTGCTATCATGTACAGCAGATTTTGGTCTGCCATTCTGATTGCCATTCAAAACAATTGTTGTTGCTATCATGTACAGCAAATTTTGGTCTGCCGTTCTGATTGCCATTCAAAACAATTGTTGTTGCTATCATGTACAGCAGATTTTGGTCTGCCGTTCTGATTGCCATTCAAAACAATTGTTGTTGATATCATGTTCAGCAGATTTTGGTCCTCCATTCTGATTGCCATTCATAACAATTGTTGTTGCTATCTTGTATAGCAGATTTTGGTCTGCCATTCTGATTGCCATTCATAACAATTGTTGTTGCTATCATGTATAGCAGATTTTGGTCTTCCATTCTGATTGCCATTCAAAACAATTGTTGTTACTATCTTGTATAGCATATTTTGGTCTGCCATTCTGATTGCCATTCAAAACAATTGTTGTTGCTATCTTGTACAGCAGATTTTTGTCTGCCATTCTGATTGCCATTCAAAACAATTGTTGTTGCTATCTTGTACAGCAGATTTTTGTCTGAAGTTCTGATTGCCCTTGCAATACAATGGATTTTACAATCGAGTACATCAGATTTTGATCTGTTAAATCTGTTGTATCTGCAGTACTGATAGTCAGTTACTGGGTGTGAGTATACTGTATAACTGATGGATGTAGGATATGAAATTAGTCAGTTTGTTTTAGACTGAATATAGGCACATTATTCATTGATAACACTGAAGGTTTGCATCACAGGACATGAACAGACCCAAATCATGTTTTAGGGGTCATAGTTTTCGGTATTTATCGTAGACTTCTAACCTATGAAAATTTTTCTCATGTCTTGTGATGTATAAGTTTACAGTTGAATGGGACAATTTAGTTATGTATGGAATAACATGATGAAAAAGGAACGAGGTCACATTATTTCATGTATTGTAAATAACTTTACCTTTAATAACACGAGTGAGTAGTTTGAATTGAAAAAGATAGCGATGAATATAATGTTGAAATTTTGTTTACTGAATAAATGATTAGACTTTTGAATTGTATAAGAGATATTGGACCATGAACCAAACCAAGTTGTTTTAGTTCATGATCAGATGTTTCTTGATGTACATTCTAACTTATTTAATTTTATATTGTTTTAAATTGTGAATGATAAAACTCTAGTACTTGAATCAAGTTATGTTGTGCACAATGCTTGATTTTGGTTTATGCTTTTAGCAGATTAAGAAATGAAAATAACATCTTCCCCATGTTTATTGTTTGTAATTCATTGCCTTGTACAATGCATATAAATGGATAGTGAAATGTTTGTGTAGGTTAAATTGCACTTTAAAAGATGCTTACTGCTTATATAGTGAAAAAAAAGACACATGTGAAAATTCTTGATATATGGTATATGAAAGCATTAAAATCAACATGAATAGGGTCCAGAAGGAACTACTAAAATTGACTAAAGTGAGCTTTGGTTTAGAAAGTTTTCTGTGTTGGAGACATAAAACTTAGTTTATTCCACCACTTTCTGGAGGAAGCTATATACCTGAACCAAGTCACGAAAATGATAAATGATAGTAATTTATTATAAATATGATTCATTAATTTATATTTAAATGTTTTTATCTTGTTTGTCAGCATTATTGGGGCTTTCCTTTATACTTTACTAGTGTTTGAGTTAAGCAGTTTGATATTTCCTTATTATACAGTATTAATGATAAGTATAAAAAAATTACTAAAAATAGGGGAGATCTAATAACCAAGGTGGCAATCAACAACCATTAGTTGAGGAAATCACAGGCAATGCAATGGCGTTAAAAAAATGACAGAACTACAAACAATTCACAAAACACCTCACAACAAAGGTTAAGTAAAACATACCTGATAAAAAAATAGGTGGTGAAGGTTAAGCAATTCCTGCTCAACTAGAGGCACCCTTAATGTATACCTTTATAAATTTATCAGTGCTGTGTTTAAGGAATGTAAGTGCTTTGACTCTTAGACAGGACTGCACTATGTATTAAAATGCTTTATATGGACCTCAGAATTGCTAAAACTGTAGATTGTATGAAAATGCTTTAATATGGACCTCAGAGTTGCTAAAACTGTAGATTGAAAATAGTTTTTTGCTGCCATACATTGGATAAGTTACTTAAACATTTATTAAATTAGAAATTAAAAATGAAAATTATTTGTCATTTCAGATTGATACAGATGATCATGATTGTGAATTAGATTTAGAAGAAGTTTTGAATTTAGACACAGACCAAGAAAGACGGAACTATATTCAGGTACGCGTTTCAAGAGCACTTTTTTGGCACATCAACTGTTTAATTTTGGGGGAAAATTCAGATGCTAAGAATTTTTTATCACAGTAACCATAAATCATTGACCTGTAGATATCTTTTCTTGCTTTATTATTTAGTGGGTTGCTGCCTCATTGAAAGCCTACACATATCCTTAATTCATACACATATTTATTTGGGTTATTTAATGATAATTTACAAAAGGCCGGGATTGTAATCCTCAATTCTTTATACACCCTCCTGAAAGAAGGGTCATATTGTTTCAACCATGTCTGACAGTCAGTCACATTTTTCTTGGGCACTACAGATCAGAGCTTCTTGAAATTAGGATTCGATCATGCTTCATGTGAGCATGCTATACCGTGTTTTGTGGCTCATCTACTTATATATTCTTACACATAATGGCCATGTATGAAAGTTTTGTCACATTTTTCTCAGAAATTACATTTACTAATCAAAGCATCCTGAAATTTGGTATCTGCTTCATGTGAGCATGTTATATATACCCTGTTATGCATGTTCTTTGTTTATCAACTTCCTGTTCACTGAATTCTTTTAGCAGAGGGGGTATCATTAGTCATCAATAGCTCGCATTTCAAATTATTCATTTAATTGGAAAGGGTAGGATCACTTCTCAGTTAAAATTCTGAGATGTTAATTAGAATTTATGGTATCCGTGCTCTAATTGCAACAAAAATAAACTAAACCACATTCAGTTTAATGAAAATAATGTTTTTTTTTAAATAGTATAAAAAACAACTGTCAATAGATTAAAAACAGGATGTCATATGCATGTATCATACATTATTCGTGACATCAATCTCAAAGCAAAATTTATTATATGTTCATGATTTAAGTATTTAAGAAAAATAATAAAGATAAGGTAACTGCTCATAAATTCAAACATTTTCAAAGAAAGATTGGTTTGTAATATGTTTAATGAATTGTAAATAAGAAGCTTATTTTTCTCCTTCCCTCATTATGACATAATGAAGTATTAAGTCTAGGATATGAATTGAAGGATTGTATGCCCTAGTTTTATGTTCTGGAAAAGTCATTGACACAAGATTGAAGCATGCATATGAATAAAAGAAGATCTTGGTTAGATATATGCATAAATACATAAATGAGAGTGGATGCTAGTGATTGTGAGTGATTCTAATATATGTATGTGTGAATGGTCATAAATCTGAGCGAAATCACCTTGGATAACCCTGTATAACAATGATTCACACAAGCTTTTTCTATTTTCAACAAAAGTATAATTTAAAAGTACACAGTAAATTTATAAAAAAATTCAGCTGAAGCAAAATCTAAAAAATGTGGTGAGGAGTTTTTATTCCTCCAGATTAAATTTAACATACCACTTATAAAAACACATAGAAAACTGACACAAGAGGTCTTTTAACCTATTAATTCAAATAGGTTTCAGTAATTACATAATATACTTGTAGATATGAATGTTCTTAAGATTATTATTTACTATTTGAACAACGCTTTAGTTTGTTTTATAAGACTTTTTTTTTGAATTTAAATGCAATAAGGTGGTGTTCACACTATGTCTGAGTCTAAGTTGAATAAATTTTCAATCATTTATTTTATAGTATAAATCTAATTTTGAAAACAGTTGAAGCCATTATTGACTTTAGAATTAAATTTTCGATCATTAATTTTATAGTAAAAATCTAATTTTGAAAACAGTTTGAACTATTACTGACTTTTTGATTAAATTTTTGAAAAATTAATTTTATAGTATATATCTAATTTTTAAACTATTATTGACTTTTGAATGAAGAATTGAATGTATGTCAAACAAAAATGTAAATAATAAAACTTATTGCAGGTGAGAAGTGATAATGCGGGTTAACTTTAAAATTAAAATGTCACATATAGTTAAGTTCTCTTGATTATGTATCAAAAATACTATGAAAAGGAGGTTATATTCAATTCTTCTATAAATAAATGTGAACTTTTTGAAAATAGAACATAATTAGGTACAATAGTATATACATAAATATTGACATAAATTGAAACACACCAAACAAGGGTTAAAGAGTTAATCTTTTTACATACTGGATTATATACACAAGGGTTAACATAGATTATGATAAGTCACTATAAATCTCATTCCTTTTAAAGTCACTTTAGATAACCCATTAACTGGTCATAACATGATGAAAATCAGCCAAAAAAAGGGGAGTTGATGATATCATTACTGTTCACATGCATGAAATTAGATCAAAAGTGGGTGTGGCGACACTAATATTGATCACTTTCGTGGGATCAACAGGAAAAAAAGGGGATTAGTAAGTTGACACCAGTAGTGGTTACATGCTGAAAAGCAGGTCAAATATGGGGTGTGGTGACATCAACATGGGTCACATGTAGTGGTGGATTCAAAGGGAGCTTAGAGGGTGTACACCCCCTTTCATTGAAAAATATATAATTTTTTAGAATAAAATTGTCTACGAAATTGGCAGTAAATATACGTTTCTTTGTAATGATTCCCCCTTTCAAAAATCCTGGATCCCCCCTAACATGTGTATAATATTGAGAGAAAGAAAAAGTTGGCAAACACTAGTCATGACAGTATCCTTCATGTGCAAAACAACAGGTCTATACATATCTACTGTAAATAAGATTTAGTGACAATGTAATTCCTTATAAATATGATGAATGTCAGCTGAATAAAGGATAATTACAGAGTATTAAGGCAGTATTATACTAACTGATTCTACATAAAGCTGGGAGGGACAATCGATACCAATACTAGTTGTCAAAGTCATAATGCGGATTCATTTATATCCATGGAAACCAATTTTGGGGGATTTATGGAAAATTGTATTTTCATGGATATTTCATTATTTGTTTTCGTGGTTTTGTTAAAGTCGGCATACAACCTTTTGAAAATGTCTTCGTGGGACTTTGAAATAGTGGTTAACCTATAACCTTGAAATCTTTGAAAATTGGTATCCAATGTCTACGATTTCACCATAACTGATATAACCAGTTGTAAAATGTAGAACTGATTTTGGAAAATAAATAGGGAGAAAACATTGCACCTATTGTCTGGCATATATATATTTAACACGACTGAAATCAGGTCATTAATGATTATTGGGTCATGAAATAAATGTGTTCATTATAACATGTAAGTAATTAGGTCATGATTGATTTAAATAGAACACTAAATTAAACAAAGGAAGCCAGCTGGTTTCAATTAGTTGATTCGGTCTGTTGGACATCAAAACATTAACGAAATAAAAAGTTAGGAATTCCAGCCGAAAAAGGAGATCAACTATTTGTCTATTTCAGGTCATCATTGTCTTTAAAACTATTCTGACAAGAAAAAGGGAAAGTCAAGGAGGTTGCATAGTTGCATAAAAATTTGCACCATTTCTATGTATTTAAAAGTACTTTTCCTCATTATAAACCATGATATATGATATTTATAAGAATTGACATTTCGTGCATACAACTATGTATTATTAGACATTGGAATTATTTTTGAGTTTTATGTTATTTGACTCCTGTTGCACAGTTTGATTTAAATTTAAAATTTCAATTTCCAATTCACAGTGCAGACGTTTATTAATAATGACATTTTAGTATAACGATATATTGATATATTGCATAGTTTCATTTCACAGAAAGGAAATTTTTCGGTTAATTTTTGTAAAAGGAGTCACATTTTACATAAATCATAATAAAATATGGTAATGTCAAAGTTTTATTGCTTATTCATGCCTTAATTTGTCTTGTTTGAATCTTTTATTTGTGACCTATTCAGATCTTTAAGGTGATAAATTCTTATTTGTTGTCACCATCATAGTAGCATGCTTTACCTCATAAATCACATGTAAATCATGTGACATGCTGTTTACATGTAGCTCCTGTTCAACATATTGATCTTCATATAGTAATTAAGTCCAAGACAGAAATTTTCTCTGACTTGTGAAGGATTTAATTGGTTATTCAAACAAAAGAAATCTTCATTTTTGAAGCCATGTTGGCTATACATTTTTTTCTTATTTCAAATCCTGTACTTTTTAAAACAAATAGCAGCTATACTAACTTGGTAGGCAGAATAAAGAATATAATATTGTAAAGAAACAAATTATATATGCCTCCGTATGCACAACATGTGTTATTAGAATAATCTTCAATATGTGTGCTCTTGACCATAAACATTTGGTACATAGCGTTTGAAAGCATGAACAGCTTTAGAACCTTAATAGAACAGCCAAATTTGTCTAAGGTAAACCTTGCTTGAAGGAGCTGCAATCCTTAAGGTGCATTGAAAAACAAAGGATTAAACAGAACAGTGAGTACTGTAACTTAATTCCAAGAAGCTCTAAATCACAGTACTTCAGGAAAGTTCAGTGTGTTGACAACTTTTGCTTTGGAAGTTTAGCATAACAGACCTTTATAGGGGCTCTAAGAAGAGTTAAGAACTTTGTGGCCTCCTTTCAGATTTGTGAACACTGTTTGAGAAAAAAAGGAAAATTTTGTTGTTGTTTAGTCTTTGATTTTCAGTAGTGTGTTTTGTGGACATCTTTGTCTTTTCATATTTTTTCTTTTGACCATATGGTGTTGTCTGTCTGTCTTTAACTTGTGTTTTTTTTATTGTTCCTTTGTATTTTTCTTTCATCTTTTCAAACAAAGTCTGTAATCTGTGGTTATTCACATATTAGAGAATGGAGTTTTAAGTAGTCTTTATAAAATGGGGATGTTTTTGCCATTAATATGGTCAGACATAATTTATCATATTTCTGACTGGTTGCCCTCAGGTCCCCTACTGATCCTTAACTCTCATGATGGATTATAGATGTAAATTATATAGTCATATGTATCATTGTCCAGTCATTTTAACAAACTTAAACACTAAATCACATCAAGGTCATGTTTTTTTATTATCAATGGTGCAATAATTTAGTTCATATGTGAGAGGGGAGGGTATGCTTTTATCATACTTTTAAAGATTTACTTCAGGGATGGAAAAAAAAATATAAAAGCTGACTGCTGTTTTCAAAGTTTATTAGTAACATTTTAAACAGTCCCATTTTACTAGTTGGGATAAATTTCAGAACTTAATTATTATTTTTGGAGGAAAATGATAAGTCTTGGTAGATATTCATTTGTTCCATATACATATACATGATATAAAAGTAGTACTAAAAATTCAGGATTCTTAAGGATTGTTGAACTATATTTAATAGGAGGTACAGAATGTCATTACCAATGAAAGAATTCAATTTAGGATGTTTAGTGAACTAGTACCAAGTCTAATATTTACCGAACCTTTCATCTTGTGGCTTCCTGGTTCAGTTTGTATGTTATGTAAACTATAAGGTTAATCAGTTCACCAGTGTTTAAACAAAGATAGAGAGCATGCAAGAAAATTAGGTAGCACTACAGTATCTGAAGTTGATATGTAGTGATTTCTCCGATCATCTACTATTTATGAAAACAAAACTCCTCATGGGAAATAATATATATGATTTCTTCGGCAGGTGCTTGTCATTTTTGCAATCAAATCATGGGGTGAATTTTTTTTTGAGTAATTGATTTAACAGAAATTAAATAGTTCTTTGTCTTGTGCTGATAAATCCATTATCGTTTCCAGAACATCTTTAAGATGTTTATATTTGATAGAACTTCTCTGGTTTAAATTAGAAGCTTCTTAAGATGTAAACTTTAGATAGATGTCATTCTTAAAAGGCTTTTAAAAAACTCATTGAAAGCAGATGAGATACCAGAAGGGCTTTTGTTAGTTTTCTGAGACAGTAACCTCTGGCAGTGACCTTTTAGAAAGATTATGAAGTGCAAAAATTTAGGGATGACCTTGATATAAATAAAACATTTTTGAAAAAGCTTGGAAAATCTTCATGAAAATGGTTTCCAGAGCACTACAATAAGTAAACATTCCTGTAACCAAAAAAAGTAACTATAACATCAAATAGATCTACACAAGTATATATGCTTGCAGAAATGAACAAATTAAGGGCTACAGCATAGTGATAAACTGTAAGCAGAAGTAATCTTTAATAGCTTTTAGGATTCATAACAAATCATGATGGGAGGACTGATATCTTATGAAACTGGTTTAAAACTCTGCCACATATTCACATCGGCTATCTTCTAGCCAAGGAATTGCCAGTAGTTTTATGTCATATCTTAATGTTTTGATTGAATTTTTTAATGAGAATTTTGTGTCATATTGATATGACTGATCTTTGATAATCTCTGTTTAATATCATATTCACAACTTTTGAATCATGGCAATTTAAATGAGACATACTGTATGTACACCAGTATTTTGTTGAATGAAGAATTGTTTTGCACTTTAGAGGTATTAAACAAGACTTATAAATTTGTCCTTTGTAGAATGAATTTTTATTTTTACATCTAGATGTCTTTTGGGTATTAATGTTGCATCATTGAAGCATACTCCACATGTCCTTGTATTATAAATATTTAGGACTCCAGTTTTACATATACAATATTTTGAATATGAAAACCAGACTTAGCTCCTGTTCTATGCCTATTCAAGCATTAGTTTCTGGTTTATTGTTAGGCATTATAGAAATTATCCAGGTTATATTACTTAATTATACAGGAATTAAAACATTAACATGACTTTATGACAAGGGTTACATATTGATAATACATAAAAGTACAAAAGTTATTTTATTGATAGATCTAAGAAGGAAAAGGTTTCATTAAGTAATTAATCAAATTGCTTCACTCAGGGATAGTGTTATTTAGGCCTGTGGTAAATGATTTTCCATGTCAGATTTTTATTTACAAAAGGTCAGAAGTAAAGATATTTTATCAATATCGATGACATTAGTTTTGAATTTATGAATAACATTGATGTATATTTTGAATGGCATAGGGATAGATATTTGAATGATGTAGAGATCGATATTTGGAATGGCACAGGGCAAAATATTTTGTAAGGCTTAGACAGAATAGATATTTTTAAGGGCACAGGGATAGATATTGTAAATGGTACAGGGATAGTTATTTTGAAGGTTATAAGGATAGATACTTTGAATGGCACATGGATGGATATTATGAATGGCACAGGGATGGATATTTCGAAGGTCACAAGGATAGATATTTTGAATGGCACAGGGATGGGTATTATGAATGGCACAGGGATAGATATTTTGAAGGTCACAAGAATAGGTATTTTGAATGGCACTTATATCATAGTTTGAATGCTATAAAACTCAAATGTCCTACATGTTGATGAAAATGAATCTTTTACTCAAATGGGCAGGTAGATTTAACGACACTTACTCAATAGGGGAAATTGCAGCTTAAAGACACTTTATTAGATATTTTGCAACATGAATATCTTGAACAATAGACAGGTGTCCGTACAATATTTCAAGCTTTAAATTTGCCACATTTAAAATATGATTCATTCATTTAAAAATTCACAGGGAAGCTGACTTAAATATAATAAACTGTGCATCCTTTTCCTGACTTTTTGTTATTGTATTTTTTCAAATTTTCTCACGCATCGATTTTGTATTTGTTTAGTCATACCCTGACCGTAAACTGTTACTCTTGATTACTGATATGATCCAATTTGTTCTTCTATGTAAAACTTGTTTTCTTATGAATTATACATTATATTGATTCATGTCATATTTATAGTACTGTTAGGCAACCTTTTAATGTTATTGTCAAAGGATTTCCATCTGTTCTTATTAAACTAAAGCACCCCGCCCAGTGATAACAAGGGTGATCTTATTGTATAGAAAACTTGATAATAATATTAAAATCAATGTAAGACCATATGTTACCAAGGAAAATTCTGCAAGAGTTGTGTAATTTTGATTAACCAACGGTGTTATGAAATTGATTAGTTCTACTGGAAAACTGAATATTATGGCATTTGATTTGTAGAACAAAAACTTGATCACCCGACATTGTTACATTTATTTGTCATTTTTATTAGTTTATTGACTTTCAATGAATGTCATTAAAAATCTATAAAAGGAAGAAATTTGTCATTTGAAGTTTGAACAATTGTCCTCCAACACAAAGGAAGGTGTTGTAATGTGTAAAGGGAAACAACTCTTGATCCTTATAATAAAATGCATATATGCACCCAACTTAAATTTCTTTGTTAACCTTGATATTATTAACACCAGATTTATTTTAAAAAGTATTGAACTGAAATGTAAATAGTTTTATTAGGTAATATAAAACATAAGATCATTACAATGAGCTAATACAGATAATTCAGATCGAAGATAATAAATTTTATCTCAAAAGTATTGCATAATTGAGAAAACATGTAAAAGTTGTAAAATAGAATGCTTATCATGCTCTAAATGGACTTTCAACTGCCAGACAGTTTTATTGTGTATCTAAAATAGACCAATAATTTTATTACTGTATTTCAGGAAGAAATTAAGAATGCAAAAGTGTCACAAGAAGATGTAAATGTAAGTTAATAGGATTGAAATGTATACATGAATACACTACATGACGTATTTAGAAGAAGAAAAAATATAATATATAAATTAAACACTGCAAATATGATTGCATATCTTTTTATCAAAATATCAAAAGGCTACATGTGAAGAATTTGTTTGAAAAAATATCAAAACAAGCAAGCATTGAAAGAGACTACTAAAAAAACTTAACAATATACTGTATCAAGACAAAGCAGAATGAAAACAATATGTACCTGGTAGTAGTAGTCTGTGGTCACACATGTACATATGTTGAAATCAGACCAGAGTCTCATGGTTGTTTTTGACTGCTTTAATTTTACCACAGCTTACCAGTGTGTTGTATTGCACCAAATAGCATGGTAACACTAAACACTAAAACAAGCATGAAAGTAGTGTACAAAGGAGGGGATCTGACAATTACTTTTATATGACCACACAAGTTGTATTAACAGTAAAATTCTTAAGTTCTTTCAAAATTGTGTCAATTTTTGCATTCTATATAGTAGTTCTCAGAAGTAACAAACAATTACTTGAAAAGGTCAGATCTCAGACTAACAAACCATTACTTGAAAAGGTCAAAGGTAATGCCATTAAACAGAAAAGGTCAAACACCAAAATGTAAAAAAACAAAACTATGAAAGCTAAAAGGCAGAAAATAGCTAACCCAAAACAATAAAAAAACCGTTCTATTTTATGATAGCCTTAGTAGGAACAAAGAGTATAAGCACAGATAATATTTGAGTACCTTTATAGCAGTGACATTTTGTGGAGAGGAGCAAACTTTGTTATGTAATTAAAGAACTCATAAAAACAAAGATTTACAGAAACACTTATGTTCTCACGAATAAAAGACCCTTTTCACTAAATAATTTCTTGTAACATAAGGGGACTGAATATAAAGTTTCTGAATCAGCAAATCAGAACAAAAATATAGAAAAAAACAAGAAATAATCTCTTTTCAGATAAGACATTTAATAGTGCTGGCATGTTCTTTAATTTACTATGCATGTAAATCTTGTAACAGCATGCATTTAATGTGACCCTGACCTTATTTTCCGTCAGTGTAAATTGCAAAGATTTAAGTTTTATCACTAAAACAGCTGTATAGTAAACTGAAAGTCTATGTTTTATAATTGCAGGTATTTATAGAAGAACTGCTGCGAAAAGCCTCTACATTATAGACATGTGACAGTGTATTTAAAAATTGTCTCAGAGGCAGTGTAACTGGATTATGTGAGAACCAGTACATTTGTCTGAGGAAATGTGAATGAATTATGTGAGAAGCAGATTTTATTGTGTCATATGATCTCTTCAAGTATGAATGTGGATCAGTATGAGTGATCATGATTGGAATAGCTGACAAATTTTTTTAATTTTACGTTTAGTGGTGTTATCTGAAGTTTTTACGGCTTCTTTATGATTTTTATACATGCTAACTAGTCTAAACAAATACAGAGAGTAAAAATAGTAAAATATGATCAAAAAGATCCTTGTTCAATTTTTTTATATAGTATATTAATGTGCACATAAACAATTATAAGTCTTTCAGATTTTTTTAGTAGCTCCTGCATGCCTTAACTAAATTATCTGTAATTTCTTGATCAGTTGCAGAGTTTAATCATTTTGAAACATAAGCATCTGAGTCTTGAACAGAGATAAAACAAAAATATGAAGGATCAGAAAAACAAAAAAAGAGTCAAAGAATTAAAATTTAGGAAATGTAGTAGAAAGATGAGAATACAAAAATTTGAACATTTCTTCCTATTTCTATTCTTGGGAAAAGGAAAAAAAGGTTCCCTGTTCTGAATCCCAATCGTTTAATTGTATCGTTAATATTTTGAAATGAAAATATCATATTCAGTTTTATAATTAGTTTCAAGATGCGGCAATGGTTATCCCAATGATGAACAATGCACTATTTCTAAGTACCAAATTGTCTTGTTTCTATAGTAACTAAATGTGTATAGTACACAATGATTATTAAGTTCCACCTTTTCAATAGTATAAACTTTAAGGTGGAGTGGGAAGGGAACCTTTTATTAAATAACACTAAATCTTTTTCAATTGAATACTTTATAAACTCAGGATTTTAAAAAAACAGGAGAAATTCTCACTCCGTCCTATTGTATGTTCTATGAAGAGAGGGTTTATTACCATGATGCGTGTGTGCCAATTTATAATGAAATGTTTTATTTTTTGTTATTTAGGCTGTGTTGGAATATAAAGAGTGCTTGTGTTTGAAAAATGTAATTAATATAAAGATGGCAACAATTTTTTTGGTGTTTATATTATATTTTTATCCATTTCATCTTGTAAACATATTACCTTTGAATATACAGGTAGTGGACAAAAGTGAGTTCCCACTCAAAAAATGTCCTATCATTTCAACTAAAATCGATATTTTTCAAAAAAATAAAATTGAAGTAACTACATGACCGATTTATATAAAATAAATACATACCATAAGATGCAGAAATGTCTGAAGTTTTATTGCTTATTTGGCTATGGTTTTTGTGAAGATTGTTTTCATTTTCTGATGGGTTAACACATGCAAATTTTTACGATTTTATTTTGGTTAGAATGCATAGCAAACTTTTCCAGAAATATTTTTTTGTGTGTTCACCCCATCAGAATATAAAAGTTAGTCTGATTGATATTATGGCCAAACATACAAATAAATTTTAAACATTGCTACATCTTATGGTATTTATTTTATAAATTTCGCTCTTAAAGTTATAATGTATTTTTTTTTTTGAAAAATATCGATTTTAGTTGATATAATGGGACATTTTTTTAGTGGGAACTCACTTTTGTCCACTATCTGTATGTGTATTGTGTGTTTTTTTTTTTTATTAGATAGAAAAGAACTCTTATTTCTTTTAAACAAATAGTTTTATAAATAGGGTTTTGTGCCAAACTTTTATTCTTTTTTTTTGTGTTTCTTTTCAGAAGGAAATCCTTGTTTTTCTAATTCAATATGTTTAGATGACTCTCAGGTAAACAAAGCTTTTAGCCCATTAAACAACTTTTTGGCATTGAAAGATTACACAAATATTCTACCCATATGAGGTCAAATTAGAAACTACTTCAAGCAGCAAATAATTTAAAATAGAAATTTATATATTTGAAAATGAAGGACAGGAAAAACGAAAAATATGTTGTCTCTGAAAAAGGACCAAGGGGAGACAATTCAAGTTATTTCCCCTTGGATATATAAAAAGCAATTAAGGGTGGCATTTTTGTTATCTTCCTGAGAATGGTTATAAAAGTTAAATTTTGGATAACTTATTATTTTGTTCAGCTTTATTTTATTTAACAATAATTACTTGTGCTGGTGTTAATTTTTTTGGCATCCTAAGTTTATATTTTTCTTTGGTTTTTCTCCTTAACAATGCCATTACCAACATTTATGCAATATTTTTTGATCCCTTGATATTGATGAAGAGGAACTATTTTGTTCCATTTTAATGCTAGAGTTTTTTAGTAATTGTGTTCTAGTCACTAGTTTTGTGTGACCAATTTGATGATTCATTTGAACATTGTATGATATGTAGATTATCTAGTTTTGTGAATTTTTATCGATGAAATGTTCACATTTTATATTGCTAATTATAAGTACTGCAGTTGCAGGTTTCTATTAAAGGGAGAAGGAATTTGTTTATAATTTTTTTATTTATCATGTGGGTTTTTTATTTGATCATAGAGGCAGGGAAAAGGGAGGTAATCCTTTAACCAGAACAAACAATTTAATGTTTTTTTTGTTTTGGATGACAGCATATAATTATACATAAAAAGTTAGCTATGAACACTGTGCATTTCTGAAGACTCCAAAGGTAAAAAAAATGTCATAATAAACATGTATATTTATCTAGTGACCAAAGACAGGAATATTATGAAATTGCTTATGGTTCTTAAATACAAATACATCGTCTTTTAGAAATTTATTCATTGTGAAAGTTTAATCTTTTGGTTAATACCAAATTGTTTGTCTATAACTTTAGAAAATGTCCTATGTACATGATGCAAAAGTCTAAATTTCTTACACAAGTAGCAGTTTGGTAATTAATGTAAGCTGAGATCTTAAATCATTATTTGTGTTCACAACTACACCATGTATAAAGGTTCTCGAATTTAATGGTTGTTAAGCTTAATTTTGCATTTTAAAATTTTTTAACAAAATTCACTTATAGCATTTCATTTTGCATTTTTGCTTTTGCCATCAAATATTTAGTTGTATGACGTCTTAACTTTATCCGAATTGAAACTTTTTCAATGAATTACCTTTACAGAAGTTCTTTCATAGCTACGTTTAATATAAAAACTCAGGAATTATTTACCTGATAAATAATTTCTACTTTAATAATACAAAAGATTTTTTTTATTGTAAATGCTTCTATATGTTGTCGTTAAAAAGTAACAATCAAAATAAAAATATAAAATGTAATTTATGCAATAGCACCAAATTTTAAAACACCATTTATAAAAATATGATTTTTTTAAATATGAATGGATTATACCAGTGTTTTTTTAAGGTCATACCATAAGTCAAGTATAAAGTTAGTGTTCTTGGCATAGCATGGTTAAATGTCAACCTTGTAAGAGTTTTCAGTTTAAAGCAATACAAAAATAAACTGCTGTAAATACTTATTATTATTTTTATTAAACATCTCAAACACAAAATTGTTGGTTGATTTTTAGAATTTCTTTTTAATCTATTTTAAAACATGATGTAAGTCAGTTATCCTTAGGAGTGACTTATATGAGTCTTAAGGAATGCATACATATAAAAAGAGTTTGAAGATATCAAGGCGATAATCAAAACCAAAAGTTGATGAAAAACAATCAATATAAAAATAAAAAAGATTTAGTATGATTGCATATGAGACACTTCTCCACCAGAGACTAAATGACGTAGAAGTTATCAAATATAATTCACCGTACGGCCATCAACAATCAACAAAACCTATGATTAAAGACTCAAATTACAAATGTAAAACAATTCATTTGAGAAAACTAACAGCCTGATTTATGTACAAAACAAAAAACAAGTATGATATTTAGCAACAAATGACAACTACTAAATTACAGGCGCCTGACTTTGGACAGGTACATATTGAATGCAGTCAAATGATGACCAAACGAACAAAAAAAATGAATAAATGGAGAATGTGACCATGGGACAATGATGATGCCCCCTCTTGCATATAACGTTATAAAGGGGCATAACTCGGGAACGGTAAAAGTGACGCAACCCAAATTCAAACTTAATCTGTATTTTGTGGTAATAAGCATTATTTAAAGTTTCATAACATTTGGTTGAGGCTAACTCAGTTGGAGAACGGAAACCAATTTTGGGATGGACGTATGTATGAACAGAGAAGAGCAACACTTAATGCCCCCTCCAGTGACAGGGGGGCATAAATAAGAAGACAAACAAGTCCACAACACACCACAGAATAACAAACATTAGGCAGCAGAAAATGAAAAACAATTTACTTATATCTGTATGCAGATTTTCCTGAAATCGCAATAATTTATCTCGCATTTTAGTCCATTCTTCAAAAATCGCAATAATAAATGCACGCAATAATTTCTTAATTTACAGTATATTGTAGAATATCAGCTGCTCGACACAATATGAAGCCTTTTTGACTCATTCGCTGTGCTTATTGGACAAAAAGCTTCATATGGTGACTCACAGCTGATATTTTACAATATCAATATGCAGACAACCTGATAATCAGTATGTTGAAAATTTTCTGTGGTTTCCAATTTCTAGATCAATGAGATAAACACCATAGTTAAATGTGTTGTCAAACAATGGATTATTCAGTGAGATGACATTATTTATGTAGTTGATTGTTAAGTTTAAGGATAATACAAGCTTCTTTTCATTCTTCTCAAGACTCGCTTTTATAAAGTCTGACTCTCATAAAGAAAAGAATGTCAGCAAACATTGAATTGTCATTCCTTTGTAAATTTGAGTTGTTGAATTACTGACATATGTTTCCTTATATCGTACAGATGTGTCTTGAAACTGAACAAAACCAAAAAAGGATGATTTTGTTCAAGAAATAAAAACATTGTCATTTGAACTATTTTAAAAGTCCTATTCCTTTTGTCTCTGTGAATAAAATAAAAACAGTAGAATGATATTTTGTAAGTCTTAGATACTAACAGGTCATAGAAAATGATAATGTACGTGTCAGTTGTTACCTAGTGTCTTGTAACAAAAGTCTGTATAAAATTAATCAGGTTGACCTACATTATATGCATGAATAAGTAGATAACATGTTCAAACAAGGAATAATTTGAATCTGGAATAATTTTGAATTCTGGAAAATTGTTTAGAAATGTATGATGAAAATTAACCCAACTAAATAGGGTAAGTAATGCGTGCATGGCTAAGGTTACTTTCAGTTTCACTGATATTTCAGTATGAACTAACTAACCCCCTTAGCCATGCGCACATGGCTAACCCTATTTAGTTGGGTTAGTTTTCATCATACATTTCTTATCAATTTTCCAGAATTCATAATTATTCCACATTCAAATAATTCCTTGTTTTCAAGTCAATTTCTAAACAACTACTTATCATACAGGAATGATATTTTGTCAATTTTTCAAATACTGGATAATAACAGAGGAATTCATAAAAAGTAGGTTACCTTGATCTACATTTTACACATTAAAGACATGTTTAGTTATATGTTTAGGTCCAGCCAGATTCAAGCAACTATAAGAATTATAGGAGTAATATTTGTCACTGGATGTATCAAAGATAATACTATGGACTCATTTATTTTCGTGGACTAAGGAAAGATTGTATTTTCGTGGATATTTGATTTCCTGATTTTGGCAGTACTTAGAGATAGTAAGTTTATCATTCGTTAAACATTTAAATTTGTGGTTTGTACTCATGAATTCCACGAAAAATGTTGTCCAACTAATAACAAGGAATTCACAGTACCTGAAGTCTATGATAAAGGTGGGAACAAATGCTCTTCAATTTGATTGAATGGCTGGTTAAACATACTTTACAGTCCACCATGTCTCTTGTCATTGAACAAGTTATATTTTGTCATCCATAATTCAGTCACCTGTTTCATCATATTTGGGAAGAGTAATTCAGTCAATGTACCGGTTTACTGTGCATATTCATATAGCTTTGTCTTTTCACAATACCAAATCATCATTTCAAACTGATCAACTTGTGAATTAGTCCGTTGCTAGTGAAAGGTTGTTCATATGAAGCAAGTACAGTGTAATCAATACATTCCCACCATCCAATTTCTGTGCCTTATATTCATATTAGTAAAGATTTATTTTTGATGACGTAGTTGGTAATTTCCATCTTATCATTCATCTGGACAAAATACTTATTTAACCCTGCAGATATTTTTAACATCAGGTCAAAGCCAATCTCTGAGGAATCAAGATTTTTTCCTTTCACAAAAACTATTTTTCAACTTTAAATTCAGAATTTATTGCGTGCATTTTTTATTGTGATTTTTGAATATGGTACAAAAATGAGATTAATAAATATTTCATTCTTAGGAAAATCTCAATATAGATGTGTATCAGATATAAGAATCTGAGATTTTATTAACGTGATACTCACCAAATAGCATTATCCGCATTAATAAAAACCTTACAATAGTTTCTGAATTTACAGTATAAATGTATACTTAATACCTTATCAATTGATTTAAGGCATTATAAAACAAGTGTCGACAACTGATATCTTCACTATCAATTCAATGGGCTCCAGCATTACAGAAAAATACCAAATATCAAATACCACAAGTAAAAATAAAACAGACAACACCATGGCCAAAATAAACAAAAAACAGTTGACAAACAACAGTCAAATCACAAGAGAAAACTTAAAACTGAGCAACAACTGACTTAAAACTGCATTTGCCAGCATTACTGATCAATACTGTATTTATGTTGAGTCTTAAAGATAAGTTTTACATAAACAATGATTCATGTTAATGAGGTCAAAGTATAATGAACCCAGTCAGACATACGTGTACACCTAACTATCATTCCATAGACCAAATATGGTTCACCTTTTGCTTATAGAATCTACGAAACAGACCTAACCACTGAAATTTGACCAATGAACCATGAAAAAGAGATAAGTCATATTATCTCTGCCAGACAGACATGTAAACCTTACAATCATTCCCTACACCAAAATAAAGTTGACTTATTGATTATAGCATCTGAGAAACAGACCTAACCACAAAAACTAAACAGTGACCAATGAACCATGTAAATGAGGACATGGTCATATGAAACCTATAAGATGTACACCCATTATATACACCAAATTCATATAGTTGACCTATTGCTAATAGTATAGATGTGGACTTGACCACAAAATCTTAATATTGATCACTGATTCATGAAATGAGGTAAAGGTCAGGTGAACCCTGTCTGACAGACTGACAGACATGTAGACTCTGCAAGGATCCCATATATCAAATATAGTTATCTTATTACTCATAATTCATAATAAGTAAGACATTTACACAACTAAAAAACTTTAGTATATCTCTGAACCCTGAAAATGAGGTCATGGACTATTGACATATGAAAGACAGAAACTTCTTTATATAGGGCATCTGTATACAAGATATAAAGTATCCAGCTTACTATGGAGCATGGCTTTTGTTCATTGTTGAATACCATACGGTTACCTATAGTTGTTAACTTTTGTCATTTTGTTTCTGTTGGAGAGTTGTTTCATTGGCAATCATACCACTTCTTATTTTCTTAAGATTTTATACAAATAGTTTACACAATTATGCTGCTAAATTAGCTTTCCTATGTCTAGCATTCTGTGATGAAGGAAGGAGGAGAAAAACTAATACCCCTTCTTATTCATAGCATGGGGTATAATGATGATGATGGATGGAAAGAAAGTCCAGCAGCAAATTAAATGCATATTCAGGACAATAACATTTTAATGTAATGATTATTAACCCTGCTTTGTCCTCTACCAGCACACTGATCCGGATTTTTAACACGCTAGTTCACAAGGTAATAGTCCACAGGAAGACTTGTCACCCATTCTGGACACACTATTCTGACCCCAGCGGAAAAGTCTGACCCCAGCCGACCAGTCTTTTCTCTTCCTCCTTAATGCTGTGCGCTTAGCAGAGAAGCTGCAAATATTGATTTTAAAGTCTTTGGTTTGATTTGGCCAGGGTAAAATAAACTGTTGATACAGATATGTCCCTCCTGTGTAACCTAATGATAATTTAGCAATTGTCTATGATGGAGGCAGCATGGCCAAGTCTTACTTCCCTATCTATTGTTCCCAGTGTGAGAAAAAAAGTTTGATAACAACACAAAACATACAGAATAGAAACTTTAATTGTCTTCATTATTTTCCATACAAAATATCCATATAACTGAACAAATAAATTTAACTTTTACAGTGCATTCATTCTTCCTGAAGACTTATTGAATAACAAATGCTTGAATTTTTAAGCAAAATGTATACCTCACTTGGAATTTAGGTTCAAAATAGAAAAATAACAGGACTTTCACTCAAATTTTACAAATGACAACACTTCTGCATTTTTAAATGAAAAAAAAAATGTAATTACACAATTTTGCATAACGTAAAAGACACTGTTAAGGCAAAACATAAAACAAAGGTATGCATTTCAAATGGTACAAATCTCTGCCATGAACCATTTTCTTCATTAAAAAACACATGAAATTCTAATTTATCTTTAACCGTATTTAATGTTTTCAGCTGTATCGACAAGTAATGACAAACATCATATGTGTGTTTATATTTATTTTAAGAATAAAAAATTCTGAAATTAAGTATATTAAGTATTCTTGGATCTAAAATTTCACTTCTATTTACTGGTATAAATCTTGGTTTATATACACAGGCAGCCTTGCATTGCTCACCTAGCACAATTATCTAAATCATGATCTTCAGCTCAATGAACTTTTCAATCCATCAAGAATAATGCATCTTTATTCTTATTATGTACTATTTGTATAAAAACAGCAAAAAGTTTCAAATATTTAACAATATTCAGAAAAATACCGTAGGCAAGGATTTCTAATTGCCTGTCATAACCATGTTTGTCAGAACAATGACAAGAAATTTTGGCATTTTCATGAAATTTCCTACATTAAAGGGCTGATATCAAGTCAAGAATGATTTAACTGGGATAAAAATCAGTATATTACTTCTTTTCAAACAATTAAAAATATCCACATTGACAACAGACAAAGAAAAAGCAGACTGTGGTTTTAAAGAAGAGTCCAAAAGCCATAATTAGGTCATTAGGTTATAGTTATGTCAGCAGACATACTTTGAAAAGTGGGCATCCTAAGAATGATTCAGTCAACCTATTTTAAATTAGCCGAGCAAGATGTTTGGAAAACATTAAAGTCAATGAACGTACATACACTAAGTGATGGCAGTAAATAAACATGCCCTTTGGGCCTAGAGAACAAAAATGTATATTCCTCATCCCTTCACTTACATAGTGAAATACAAAAAAGCGCAATGAATAAAGAAAGAACACTGAGTTTATGGAATGATGTGATGCTTTAGTTGAAATTATTATACAGAATTAAAGTGCAGTTTAGCAAATTAATGAGGGTACAAAGTATAAGTAAATATAATATCAACAACCTATTTGTCTGGTGGTCTATACACACACAAACAGCAGAAACCATTCACCTGTTGCAATTATTCCATTAAAATGAATGTGGGAGGGTAGAAATGGAAGTTTTATTTTCGGAAAGAGGGTATGTGTCAGTTATGGTTGTATGCCCATTTGTTATATTCAAAATTACTCAAAGTATTTTGGTTCTGGGGCATTTTGGATGTTCCTTCCTTCCATACCACATCCATTCTACTGGAATGCCCAGACTAATTCTCCTATTATGTAGTGGCCTTTTATAACTTTTTATTTTAAAAAAAATGAACATACATTGAAATATAAAATGTTTAAATGAAACAGTCTGATAAATTATGTACCGTTACCAAACATTTATCGACCTGTCAGAGAAATCTTGATTTGAACATCTATCTGTTTTGAAAGAAAATTTACAAACACATGAATATATTCTGTTGTAGAATATGAAGGATAAGCCTTAGTCAAAAATACTAGCAGTGTAAATTTAGAACTTAATTTAATATTGCAAATGTTTATCAACTGACAATAATTCTATCAATTAATCAATGGGATTCATGTACATATGGTAGAATGGTACAAACAGAAATTAAAATGTATGTTACATAATTGTAAAGTTCAAATTGTCACATTTTTCACATTGATAAAACTGTTGCATTTCAATATTTCCAGATTTACAGTATAACATTTTCAACATACATGTAGTTCCCGTAAAAAGACGCCTGAATTTGTGCATTTTGATATTAATAATTGTAAAATGTTTTGTCCATATAAATAACCCTCTATATATCGAATATAAACTAATCATAAACAACATGATTTTTAATATATGAAATTAATATCCAAAGTGGAAAAAATTATTAATTAATGCAGAATTGATATTTCTCTCTAACTAAAAATTGATATCCAAATGGAAAAAATTATTAATTAATGCAGAATTGATATTTCTCTCTAACTAAAAATTGATATCCAAATCGAAAAAATTATTAATTAATGCAGAATTGATATTTCTCTCTAACTAATGTTGTGTTCTACCACATCTGCTTGAATATATAATCGAATACCATCGAGACTGACTGACTAGCAATTGCACCAATGATAAACCATGATGAAGTTGTAGAAAAAAACCTTTGATTTGTAAACATGCACCAAGAATCACGTATAAATTATCTCCCTTCTAACACCAACATATATACACAACATTCTAGCACTATTACCCTCATATACAAGCATGTTGAGGTATGGAACTTGATAAATTTTCATTCTTCTTCAGATTAATCATATTTGAATGTAATTGTGAAATAAATTCAGTATCATGGAATATTTAGTAAAACTGTACAGAAGGAATAGAATTAAGTACCCAATGCAACTAAAAACAAAAGAATATGAAAATCGCTAAACTGGCCATGTGTCATAATTGAATTTAATGACAGAAAGAGAGCTTATTGCTTGTACATCTATTACCGGGATTGGAATGTACATATACTCATAACTCATTACAATTAAAGAACAAAAAATACTTCTCTATAAACACTAAATAGGAAAATGTGAAAGAAAACATGTAGAGACATTTATTTGCTATTGGATTTACACGATTTTAAAATTTATGTTACGATTATCCAACTGAACTTCTGCCTCCTACATATGACTTGACAGATTAACTAGATTTTAGAGATTATGTTAAGATTACCCAACTGAAATAATATTTCTGCAATCTTATGAAGACAACCAGGTCTCCATCTTTCACCAACTTGACCAGTCCAAACTTATCAATGTGCAATAAGACTGTAATATTTTTAAAGAAATTGCCAACTATTTTACTTCAGTAATTGAGTAAGAATGTGACCTTATTACATGTTACACAGTATATTAAGCACTATCAAAACTATTTCACACGAGATCGTCCACAACATTTATTCATTACACATACACCCACGTATTCATCTAGAGATCACATTAACACCCATATTACATCATCTATATTTTAGTAACACAATAATCACATGACTGATTGTAATGGTAAGTAGATCCTATTTATAGTATTGATCACAGAAGAGTGATGACAAAATCTTCTTGCAATTTACTTCCTGGTTTCTTAATTGCTAAAAGTGATGTATTAGGATCATATCCAAAAGCTAATTGTTGTTGCTGATTTCCTGAAATGTACAAAACCAAATTCAAAATATAATATTTAAAGGATTTGGACATAAATAGTCATGTACACAAGTTTTTCAAGTCTCTAACAGTTCAATGAAAACTAATGCAAGAAAAAAAATTAAATGACAGTTAGATGGATTTTGAAAAAGGTAACAGAAGATAATAATTTATTTACAAAGATCTAATATAATATTAGGAGATGTGGTATGATTGTCAATGAGACAACTATCCATAAAGCTCAAAGGACAAAGATGTGAACAATTACAGGTCACCTTGCAACCTTCAACAAGGTGCATTAAATTCAATTTAATCTAAACAATATCTTTGAATTCATATGTAAAGAAGCAAATGTATCTGATGTAAGAATTTTTTTTTAAACCATGTCACTACTAACAAAAGTCAAAGCTGAACCTAAACCTATTTTTTCCAGATCACAAACGATACTATAAATTGGTTCAAATCAACTTAATATACTGCACACATAATAGATATAACCTTTGAACAATCTATAAAAGACATATATTATATACATGTCATACAAACCTATTTTAATTGCAACAGCATTCGGTTTTTTAAGGACTCCTAAAATTAATATTCTCTCTATCCATTCTTTTGTTTCAAAAATACCATTTTTATCTGCGTTACTAAAAATATAAAATAATACAGATGAATTCCTCTGAAATTTGGAAGAATATAACATGCAGTCAAACCTGGTTTAAAGGTCACCTCTATTAAGATAAAACCTGTCTTGTACAGTCACCCTTTTCATACAGCTGTAGCAATATCTTTGGATTTTGAACCTCAATTCAAAAGTCATCTCTCTTGCAACTAGAACGGTAGAAGTGATGCCACCAATATTCATACTCGATCTGTGTTATGTGGTTATAAGCATTGTGCATAAGTTTCATAACATTTGGTTGAGGCAAACTTAAGTTAGAGAACAGAAACCAATTTTGGGACGTACGGACGGATGGACGTACAGAAGGCCGGACGTACGGACGGACGGACGGACGTACAGAGGGACGATGGGTAAAACTTAATGCCCCCTCTGCTACGGAGGGGCATAAAAACAGTTTTCTCTAGTCCCAAGTTTGATCTCTATATGCAGGTTTGGCTGTAACCAATAATTCAAAAAGAATATGTGTCCATGAGACACCATGCCCCACTTGCACTAACATATTTTCATGTTTAGGACTTTTTGTAAACAATAAACACTAGCACATCATGGACAAACATGTGAGTAATCTATGTTTAAAATTTTACAACGAAAATCTCTGTATTAAAGTCTGTGGATTTTCTGCAAAAATCTTGGCTTAATTGCCACAGTCCCCATTTTCTATTAAATGCAATAAAACAAAATCTAGATCAATCCCTAATTTGGCATATATTCTAAATAGTTCACATCTTTTTAAAAAACAAGCATGTGTACTAAGTTTTCAGGCTGATGTGACAACAACTTCATGGTTAACTACCTTAAACCAAAACTTCATTCTACCTTAAACCAAACTTTTAACTTGCTACGGATGGACAGATCCACAGACAAAAAAACATAATGTTAAGCTATTATCATAGGCCGGGCAAAAAAAAGGAACTCATAGAAGTTCAGTTTGTAAATTTCTTTATTTCAATTTGCTATAATTAACTGTTGAGACAGGGATATGTCTTGCCTTAATGTAATTTTGATGGTAAAATACAAATGTCCAAAACCATTTCTTTAATATGTAATAAAATGATACCAATCCTGTTGAAACATATTCTAACAATAACAGCAATTGGAATGTGTAATGTTTAACATACTGTGAATTCATTAATATTCGTGGGATTTCATGGGTGAGGTTAAAGTACAAATTTTCTATAGGCTTGATTGCAGACTTTGGCAAAACGACGAAATCAAATATCCCAAAAAATAAATTTGTTTCTCACTTCAAGAAAATAAATGAATCCTCAGTACTGACAATTAATCTTACCTGTTAATTAACTTATTATTAGAAAATGAAAACTGTCGATGTAAATATTTCCCCTTTTGATATTGGAATGTATGATAATCATCTGCATATATATCACCACTAGCTTTACCCTGTAAATAAAACAAACTTTAGTCTTGGATTCATAAGATTAATTATTTGGTTCAAAGATACAAGGTAATAGATGTTTATCATATAAGGACGCACATGATTCACTTGACACATTTATATACTGTAAATTCAGAAATAAATTATTGCATGCATTCAATATTGCGAGTTTAATTTTTGCAATTTTAGGAAAAGCTGCATACAGATATATGTATCAGATAACAAAATGCGAGTTCTTGATATTGTGATGCTCAAGGAGTCGCATTATTCACATTAATAAAAACCTTGCAATAATTTCTGAATATACAGTATCTAATATTTACAACTAGAATGTATCCAGTTCTTTTTTCTGTCAGTAAGACTGTCTGCTAATAATCCAGAGTATCTAGTAGATATATAACAAACCTTTCTAAAATTGTCTGTTAATAAATTTTGAACTTATTAGAAACTAAGGTTTCAACTCCCTCAGGCAAAGTTGACCTTAGATGGATTTGGCTATTTTTTTAGGTCCTTTTTGGTAATATAGCTCTTCGACTGTTTCGGTTTTTATACATCCTTGGCTTTCAAATATTCTGCTTTGAGCATTCCTGATGAAGGTAAATCCAGAAAAGCGCTTCAGACGCATGAAATTTATAACATATTTTCATTTTTTAAAGCTTTTTTTTTTTTTTAAATATCTAGATTTTAAGCACAGACCATTTGAATATTTTTGAGTTATCTAAAGCTAGCAACAATTGATACAAAAGGAGACAGTTTTTAAGAGTTCATCATATTCAAAAACCTTCTCATTGGTTGTCATTTAGTCATATCTTTATGCAATCATTCTAATTATACCTTAAATTCTTATAACTTTTTTATTGAATTTAAACCATAACAAAAGAAATCTGTGGTCTTGTGGTAGTATGGGTTTAAAGCCCAAGCTTGTTCAAACCAAAAAAATAAAATTGGTATTTGCTGCTTCTCAGCTAAGCATGCGGCATTAAGGAGTAAGGGCAAAGACTGTTTGGCTGGGAGTCCTAATAATGTATCTTGGTAGGGTGACATGTCTTACTGCAGACTAATACCTTGTGAACTAGCACGTTAAAAATTCAGCTCATTGTATTGGTCTTGTACAAATCAGGGTTAATATTCATATTACAATAATATGTTCTCTTCCTGAATATGCATTTAATTTGCAGCTGGATGTTAAAAAGCCACCCATCATCATCATCATCATCATCATCATCATCATCAAACCCTTGCAAAAAGTTAACTGTATTTTTATATTTAGCTACTAAACCTATTATATCTATAAGATATTATATTATTACCTGTCTATCAAGACAAACAAACAATGTGATTGGATCATCATGCATCAGCCCTGACGACCTTCTCACTCTCATTTTTCTAGGTATGATGGAACCTCCTCTCTGGAATACTGGTATTTTTTCTAGTGGAGCATTTACATATACAGACTTTCCTCCCAAATATTTCTCTGCTGTTAATATGTCATACCAAACCTAATAAAAAAAATGTTAATCAAATAAATCCATGTACTGAATTACAGATAACAATGATTTAGATTTCTTGAAACATGGGTACAGCAATTTACGGTTTTCAGGGCACATGCTTTTGGCGTCGTGCATTAAAACAAATTAAACAATTATTTTTCTGTGAAAATTTGAGTATCTGTTTTCAAAGATAATTGGGTTATAATTTAATGTGTAAAAAGAATATGAAACATTCAAAAGCAACAATTTATCTATCAAGAATCAGTCATATATTAGTCTTTGATGCATGATTTCTTTTATTAACTGTTGTTATCTTTGAACTACCTGTCAGTAACTGTGTATAATCTCAGATCTGTACTAAGTGTCTTTTCTTGTTAGGGATGTATAAATACCCTGCCACGTCTGATCTATCAATGTCTGTGTTTTTGTTTAACCCGCCAGATTCTTTATGTGCCTGTCCCAAGTCAGGAGCCTGTAGTTCCGTGGTTGTTGTTGGTTCATGTCGGTCATATTTGTTTTTTGTAAATTGTTTTGTTATAGATTAGGCCATTAGTTTCCTCAATTGAACTGTTTCATATTTTGTATGTCGAGGCCTTTTATAGCCGACTACACGGCATGGGTTATTCTCATTGTTGAAGGCAGTACAGTTGCCTATAATTGCTTACATCCACTTCATTTGAACTTTGATGGATAGTTGTCTCAATGGCAATCATACCACATCTCCTTATTTTCATGTGACTTGTCATCAATCATTTCAATGAATGAACTACATGTAGGATACTCACATCATTAGCTCCAGGGAAATATACATTGGTACCAGTACCCCCTTGTTCTGTAATTGGTTTAACCAGTAATGATGGACCTAAAAATATAACAATGCATTCAGTAAAATGCTAGAATATTTTTTCAAAGCTCTATTAAAACATTCAGAAGTTTTTAAATAAAACCTGACCACTCAAGTAATAAATGAAATAATAACAGGCAATTTTAAATGTTTTTAATTGTGAAATGTTACTTAAACTTGCTATAGTGTTCATGATGACATTTTTTAAAGAGAAATAGAAACATACTGTTCTATTTTATTTTCATCTTTGGACCTTTTCAAAATAAATTTTTACTCAAGAGTTAAAATATTATATAAAAACCAGAAAATTACACAGTAAAAATAATACACAAATATGTTATCAAAACCCCAAAATCCATATCCACATTTTCTACAGTATAGAAACAGAACTCTTATTTCTCATGTATGATTGATCTTTTTAAGTTTTTTTTTAACTTTCTTGATGGCGCAAATGTATAGAAAAACAGTAAAGATGTAATTATTGGGTTAAAGCTGTGAAAGCTCAGGTTGTTTTATCAACTTAAGGGATTTTCATGTTTAATATATCTAGTGACATTAAGCCTCTAACAAAATACATGTACATTTTTTCCATTATAACCACTGGCAGGTTTTAAACTATGACTGCAAAAACCAAGAACTTTTCCACAAACCATAAAATTGTCATCCATCTATAAAATACTTTCTCAATATTACTTAACCGATATAAATTAGAAAAAAACATTAGTTCATACAAAAGATAATCAGCTTCTACGGCAAATTTGTAAAGTTATTGATAAGATAGAGAGGTGTCTTGTTTTTTTTAAACTATCTTGCAGGACACCAACAAAGATGCCAGCTTGATCAGGTAATCAAGTTTAAAGCACTCTAAACTGGTGACAAAAAATATCATTTACAAAGATTATGATTTGTAAAATGAAATTGGTAGTGGAACCAAAAACAACTTATGTTTTCTAAATTTAACCTTTTTTTCATATATAAAGTCTGCTAACAATTTTATTGGATTATGTAGCAGTGCCTTAGAAATCTCTCATTTTTGTTTACCTTAACCTACAACTTACCTATTAAGAATTGATCATCCATTTTAAATGTTAATTTATCTTCTGGATATTCAGCCCACAGCGGTTGCATGACTGGTCCACCATTTTTATAAGTATTATAGAAAACTGTATACCAATAGGGCAAGAATGTGTATCTTGCTCTGATGGCGTTCCTGACAATCTTCATGTTATTATCCGGTAATAAGTATGGCTCTCTACGTTTAGTGTCAATATGAGCATGAGATCTGAAGAATGGCTGGAATGCGGCTGCCTGCAAAGGTGATATAAATTGTATACTGTGTAGTAAATACTTGTTTAAAGTTATAAAATGTCTCAAAAAGTTGTTAAAGGGTTCTGGGGAACCCTGTATCTCACCTTTGATTGATGATGTCAGTATAAAAGTGGAATGTTGACTGTAAAAAGTGAATCAAATTATCTGTAAAATACAGAATTAAAAAAAAAAACTTAACTTTTTCTTATGATGTTACTTATCGATCAAGAAGATTTCAGAACAAACCATGAATGTAAACAAATCCCTCATGTCAACAAAAATTTAATCCTAGACTGTGTGTAAACGCTTTGTATGGCTTTTGCGATATAAATGTCGTAGGAAGAAATCAATTCAATTTCCTTAAGGGGTATGAATATTCCCTAAGGTGTCCAACATGTTAATCTTAATGTTAACAATTCCAACATGTCATACTGTAAACAAAATTATTTGGAACAATTTATATTTGCATTATTTATCTATTCATGAAAATTGCATAAATATATAGCTTGCACAAATGAGTTGCTTTACTGTTTTGGACTCTTGAATATCAAAGACATATGTCCAAAGAAGGATGACTTTCAAGCTCCTAGAACAAAACTTTGATGAAGAACAGCAATAAAAGCGCTGTTCCGTTGCTTTTTGTGTTTTTTTTTTGCTGTGTATGTACTGATTTTGTGTCATGGATGGATACCCCCATATCCTTTATTTTTCTATTGTATGAATTCACCTTTTAAGAATCTAAAGCATTCTGGGTAATATTTTTAAAAGTATACACCAAAACTTTGTGATTGGTTAAAATTTTCCTAAACAATGAAAATTAAACCAATATGTGACGTTATTTCAACTTAAGGGTACACACAATGAAACTCCACCTAGTCTTAAAATTCTAAAGCAGCAAATTACCAATGAGTGTGCACCATGTGTTATATTTCAAACTACTTACTTGCCACCATCTTGTTAGTAATTCTGGATCAGGATTTTTGAAGAAGCCACCAACATCAGCTCCAGAGAAAGTAATACCAACAAGATTTAATGATAACAACATAGGATTGGACACCTTGAGATGACTCCATTCTCCTATATTATCTCCTGTCCATACAGCACCTGAAAAACAAAATACCTAATTAACTAATTTTACCTATATATGTTTCATGTTGAAATCAATATACAGTAAAAACAGAAATTTTGCAACGTTTCTATTATTGAAAGAATTGTGACAGGAAGGTTTCACTAAAATAAAATCTCCTTTTAATTATTTGTATACAGCATTTCCTTAAATCGCAATAATAAATCTCACATTTATGTCCATTTTTCAAAACACTTTCTACAGAAATATTGTGACATAGGGTAATTGTTCCATTATAAAAACAAACAAATTATCAGCTAATTGTATACTATAGAAAAGATCATCTCGTTTTCTTACAAAAATAATTAATATACACCAGTTTCTATGAGCTATTAAAAATTCTGCTCTGATAACTCTTGATATAAATATTGCTCACATGAAACACAAATTTAACAAAAAGTTGCACCCAATGTATACCTCATTTAGTTATAAATTTCTAGACCAAATAACAAAACATTCCTTTACCCAGAAGCTGAGTAATATATAACAAAAGTCAAGGATGGATGAACCGAAAGACAAGGTGGTTGTAGTATACCATTGCCATCCATTCAGTAAGTGGCGGTGTAACTAGATTTGTTTCAGACTAAACTAACAAATAGATTCCAGCCCACGCTGCAAATTGATTATCTCCCCTTTAAAATGTTGGACAGACATCCTTCAAATGTATCCTCAGGTAGTGATCTGCACTAGTGTAAATTCATTTATATCCTTCTAGCGCTTTACGCTTTAGGAGAAGTTTTACTTATGAGAGACTATTATCACATATTGCGATATTGAAGTAAGATTTTTTTATCTCCCCTTTGACGAGTAACACTGGAATTAATATTCTTTCATGCACATTCTAAGATAGTTTTCTACAACTGTGTTTAGTTTCATTAATATCTCTTAACCTGTCTAGGACAGTTTGATTCATGTAGTTCAAAAAAAAAAAAACCAATTCAAAATCTATAAAATATACATGTATGAAAATATATGCCGTTACACCTTACTAACAGCACCTGATGATAATTATAGCCTGACCGGTTTCAATCCTTAATGGACCTTCTTCAGAGGCTGAATGGTGTAATTATGTTTTTTGTCTCCTTTTATAGTGTCTGATTGTGATCCATTGACAGATAATATCCGGCATATCTGACATATCAGGTTATCTGTTACTGGATATTTTATCCTTAAATATCCGGCGGATGGATTATCCAGTGGATGGGTTAACCCGGCAGATGAGTTATCCAGCTGCTGAGTTTATCCTGTGAAAGAATTTATCCGACAGAAGTGTTTTCCGGTAGTTAAATTTTTGAACAGACATCAGAACCAACTGGTAAACATTTCAACCAGACAGAGCACAAGCACAAGCACCAAGCACTCTATTCTCTCCTATTCAAAATCTAGATTCAACTAGAAAATTGATGTAAGTTGAGCTAGTTTTCACATAAATAATGCAAGACAGCAAGCAATTATTCAAAAAAAAAAACTGTTTGATCATAACAGTATTTAATTTAATGTTATTCCTCCAACAGTATTCTTACCATTTCTCTGTGAACCAGCAAAGAATGATCTTGTTAATACAAAAGGTCTCTCCTTATGATCAGATCTTAATATCAATCCATCTGCTGTTGCTTGTTGCTAAAACATAGAAAAAGATATATTTCTATATTTTTATAATTTTCCAATTTTTTTTATGAACACAACCCAATAAATGATAATTGGTTGCAATCTATATTATTAATCAGATATTAATAGATACAAAAGGCAGGTATTTAATATATGTATCATTATTACTATTATTTATCTGTAAGGAAACTGATTTAACAATCAATGTGAAACAAACTTTGGTAGTTCTTATAGAAAAGTACTCTTCCTTTGTGATAAATATTAATTGATTCCATATTCATTTTTATTTCAATGATTACAAATTTCATAGGTTTTTGTAAACTTATAAATTTTCTGAGCAATTTTTCCAGGTTTGCAGGTAATAATGTTTTTTTGCCAATATTATTTGAATGATTTCATCATATTATGTTGCGTTCTACATAGTAAAGGCATTTTTCAAGTGTACAATTTGTCAAACACAAAAAGTAGCACACTACAAAAATGAATACATTTACAGTCTACTAACCACAAAATGACCATATATATTGTGTACATCTCTGTTCTCCCATCCATTATGATGTTTAACATCTCTATGGAAACTGATTTCTGGACCATTAAATACAGAAGGTTCATTCATGTCATTCCATGTGTGTAGGTCATTAGTACTACCTTCATATTCAGACAACAGGAACTTAGACTCCCACCATTTTCTGACCTCTGGGTCAGTAAAATCTGGCCATGCAGAGGAGCCTGAAATAAACAATTATAAATAAATTGGTATATTCATAACAGATGATAGCCATTCTCTATAGAAAAACTGTAACTGAACATAATACACCTCATAGCTATATGATTGCCATTACTGGATATCACAGATGTCCTTAAATTTTGATGTCAAAGACAAAATGTCTGACAACACAGTGTAAAAGTGATTATTGTATGATTTGAATGTGCCACATAAGTAAATCAAGGATAATCTGTATAAAACATCATCCTGAATATGCATACAATACTTGCCACTGGACATTAAGCCATCAATTAATCAATTATTTTAGCTATCAAACATAAACCTTATTCAATAATACTTAAACCTACCTGGCCAGCACCATCCATCATATTCATTACCATCCTTATTTTTGACCAATAAATCTTTACTTTTTGCATCTGCATACACCTTATAGTTATCATCTTTCTTCAAATGTGGATCAACTATTGTTACCATTTTACGACCTTTAGATGCTACATTGTTTATCATGTCGACAGAGTGTGAAAACTTATTTCCATCCCATGTAAAATATCTACAATATAATCATGAACAATGTAAAGTTCAAATCATCATTGCATTTTGGTTCAAACTGAAAAGAATATGTATTCTCTTAATTTAAAAAGCAAGTATGAAAGTGGATTTGGTTTTAACTTACAAATAGAAATCTAGGTACAAGATGACAAACATTCAGATTTCTCCACTTCTATATCAGTCAATATAAAGACATTTCAAATTAGAAATTGTTTGGTCAATTACTGGTGAACACTAAAGCTATGTTTCATGGTTACTTTTGCTCATAGAAACTTTAGTATTTCTCTGTAAGAATAAATATAATCAATAAAGTAAGGCAACAGTAGTTTATCCATATTCAAATCTTGTAGGGGCCTCGGTGGCCGAGTGGTCTAAGTAGTCTACTGTAATCACTAGCCAGTCAACACTGAGGTTGTGAGTTCGAACCCCGCTCGTGCGGGTGCACTCAACTCCAATCTTAATTGACTAGGATTGTCAGTTTTCCTATCAAAGGTTGATGGTTTTCTCCGGGCACTCCGGCTTCCTCGACCAATAAAAACTGACAGCCACGAAATAGCCCAAAAGAGGTGCTTAAAAGTGGCGTTTAAACACCAAAAATCAAATCAAATCAAATCAAATCTTATAAATCGATTAAGAAAATGCAAATCTAGGTTACAAACAAAAAATATGGGAATCGAATGGAGCGAGACCAGGTGCTTCCAGGGTAAGCAACAATAACCTGATTACTGCTACTCTCTATAAAATTTACAACTTACCTTTTACCATCAGTATGTTCTATGTCTAACCAAATCACATCAAATGGAATGTCAAATTTGTCCATATTGGCATCAACACTGCAATTATGTACAAGTAATCATCTTAAAACAAAAGCTTAGCAACTCCCTTCTGCAATGTATGTTTTGAAATTAGGTATTGACAATTCATGAAACACCCATAATTTCTGAATCAAAAATTATCAACCATTGTGGTGTATTAATTTACTCTATTTAGGAAAAAAAAATGAAAACTGTACCCTTGTGCCTGTATTGAAGTATTACTGCTCTTTAAAATATGTATTTTTTTATGAGTATTGAAGAATAACTGCTCATAAAAATATGTATTTTATATAAGTATTGAAGTATAACTGCTCTTAAAAATATGTATGTTATATAAAAATTTCCAAAACTATAACTTTTGTGAATGAAGGAAGAAGCATTTGCACCATTCTTTGTTAAAAAAAATTTTCTTTTTGTTATTTTCATGTGTCTTAAGTGATTCTTACTTTTTAACATCATCCTGGTCGTTGTAATTCCATCTACACTGATGATATGCTATGGAAAATAACTGAAATAAATAAAACCATAATTATAAATATAGCAAATTAAGGTTGAAGGAAAATGAGCAATGTGATTATTTTGTTATAGAAGAATTTTCAAGTTCTGTATTAAATGAAATAAGTTATTGAGTTAGTTTTGACATTAAACAAGAACATGTTTAATTTCTGATATGTTTCTTTGTGATCGTGCAGATTTTGTAAGCTTGAAATAAAGGCAGAGCAAGTAACATAGTACAATATAAGCAACATCTTTGAATGTGTCAGTGCTCTCCAAAGGGCTTTATAACACCATAGTGCTGTTTGAAATAGAATGTATAACAGAATGTATTATACATGTGGTGCTATAATTCTAGGGATAGTGTTATTTCAAATCCCATGGTGCTTTTTAAAAATACTTGGGAGAACAATATGTATGTTATAGCAATTGACTTCATACTGCTGAAAACTTACAAAATCAACTGTTCTATGGGAAATTCTATTTAAACATAATGTATTTGGTATTAATGACACACTAACAATTGGGTACCATTTTAAATTTTATAAGCATTTCCATTTTGATAATGTACATAAATAAGTAAAAAAGATAACATTTCCAAATATACAATAAACTGTTATGCTTACTGGAGGAACAGGTGTGGTCCCTGTTAACACAGCATATTGTTTAAACACATCTTTTGGTTTTGGTCCCAGCATTATAAACACATCAATTACACCACTTTCTGAAAACCAATGTGTATCTGTCTGGGGAATATCGGAATCTTGCTTGAAAAAGTCAGCAACCTTGGAGAAGAAATTCTGCAAATCAAAAAATCATATAAAGCTTAAACTAAACCTACAAGAAGACAATACAAAGTACCATGCCAATGGTATGTGTGCAATTATAAATATAATATTGTTTGTAAGCATGTATATTTTTAGGAGTTTCACTACTATTCATGAAGACTCATTTTTCTCAATTTGTATGAGCTACTACATATTCTATGATTACCATATATAACAATTACTTAACTTAGGGGATAATGATCAATAGTTATGAATGTTAAAAGTACCTGGTACTGCCTCATAATGAAGTCCTAAGACTTGTACATTTTATCCATTTATGTTATTCTGTAACTGTTTATTTAAAGGAACAGAAACTATTGAAATAAAATAATTTTTAAGAGATGAAAACACTATCATAGTGGATTGCCTATTAACGACTTTCTTCAGAAAAGTCACCATTTCTTCTTTTTATTAGGAAGTGCCTTAAAATAAAGATGATGAAATTGTAAGGACTTCTGTTTTTGTAAATGGTTGCATATGGTAGTTCATTGGGTTGCTTATGCATTCAGTTCATCTAAACATGCACCTGTCCTAAGTCAGGAGCCTGTTGTTCTTTGGTTGTCGTTTGTTGGTGTGGTTCATAGGTGTTTCTCGTTTTTTATATAGATTAGACCGTTGGTTGTCCTGTTTGAATTGTTTTACGCTAGTCATTTTGGGCCCTTTATAGCTTGCTGTTCAGTGTGAGCCAAGGCTCCGTGTTGAAGGCCATACTTTGACCTATAATTGTTAACTTTTTATACATTGTGACTTGGATGGAGAGTAGTTTCACTGGCACTCACACCACATCTTCTTAATTATAATGAAGTCATCTCAAATGTGTTTGGACCGCAGAATTTCTTGAACTCTAACCTTAGTAACCTTACCTTATCTGCTACATTTGATTTTATGTCGATCCAAGTTTCTGCTGCATTATGCCAAAATATTCCAACCGTATTTTTCTCACTAAATAAAAAAAAGTTTTAATTAAAACTAAATAGTCACAGTTTTACATATTGGACAATAGCATTTTGCAGTTCATTCAATGTATTATGAAATAACTGATAATTTGAAATGTACAAAATGAAGTATTTATTTGTTGTCACTTTTCCCCCTGTCTCTGTGTTCAAAATAAATGTTGAACTTAACAATAAATCAGAGATACTGCATAACTTGTGTACCTCAAAATAAGGCAAACTAGGTGGTGCTTGAAAACACTGTGTCTACCTATGAGGAATAAGACTGTATAGTTAAAATAATTTAGGTCTAATCATCTACTTGTGAGCCATCATAACTGGTACTGCTCCATAAAAAGTACAGTTCACTTTCATACACATCTTCATTAATACATACTTGTGAGCCATCATAACTGGCACAGCTCCATATAATGCCATAGGATTGTACAGTTCATACTCAAAAACATCTAAATTAAATAATCTATAGGGATCTGTATCTCTGAAAACATAATACAAAACCCATAAGTAACATTCATACATAAAAATGTTCTACTTTTACATGTATATATATCACTGTTAGAAGTGTAGTATTCATATCCTTATTGCATTCAATTTTACTTAAATCTTTTAAATAAAATTTTTATTATATCAATTATGAAATTAACTATTGTCCTCTTAACTAATGTTACCTAGTTTAGTTGTCCTTTTAACGACATCTGGGCCAACCAGAATATTCAAAACAGAAACCTTCCCATAATACAACAGTGAAAGGGTATATTGAGTTAATATGTTTTATTTAAAGTGTACAGTAGTTTTCATGTGAATGATATTTGTGACTTTATTGTGTTTCCCTTCATTGAGCCTCTCATTTACTGTTTAACTGATTAGTCTCTCCTTGATTCGTATGCTTTCATTGCTTTGTTTAGATTTCCCTCAATTAGAAATTGGACTAGTTAATTTGACAGACAAAATATATTTTTGATTTGGTAAATTATGTTCTACATTTAAATCTCTTCCCAGAAAAATTAAAAGAAAATTCAGTTGTAAGCTTTAGTGTATATCTTCTTTAATGATTAGCAGAATTTTACTGTACAAAAAATGTTGAACTTACTTTGTAGTTTTTAAGGAAAAATCATCAGCATGTTCTGGTATACCATAAACATTCTCAAACCCTGGGAAGGATACATCTAATCCTACAGAACTTGGCCCTGTCAATAGAATACAAATTCTTGAGTACTAATACACAGTATTCTTCAGTACAATATAGGTGTAACTCATTTAATACCCTCCACAATGTTAAATCAGTAAAAGATAACAGCATATAATGTTAACTCAGTAAAAGGTAACAGAATATAATGTTAACTCAGTAAAAGGTAACAGCATATAATATTAACTCAGTAAAAAGGTAACATCATATTATGTTAACTCAGTAAAAGGTAACAGCAGATCTTTACAACAGGCTACAAAGTTAACAATCATTATACTGTGGATTCATTTAATTTCATTGATACCAATTTTCATGAATTTATTGTGAACCATATGATACTTTTCCACAGATTCACTTGAAAGTTACCTGTCCATTTCAACTTTTGTAAGTTCTTTTGTCCCATCTAATAAATACAATAGCTATTGTTCTCTGTGTAGTTTATTCAATGGGACCTTACAATTTCTCCCAAGAGAAATCTATCACTCACTGATTAATTTACCTGAACAAAAATTTAACTTTCAATGATGAAAATACATGTACCAATACTAAATAAGGACTCACAAAACAGCATGTGATGTTGTATTTATTCAATATCAATAATACATTTTTAATTTGTTCAATATAAACACTGGTTCAAAAATAAAAAGTTGACTTCTGATCAAATTTTCAATATTTTACCTATTAAAATTTGCTATTGAAAATGATGATGTTTAAATTAAGGTCTTCATAAATGTATTCTATAACTGAACAACCACAAAAAAACATGCAAATTCATTGGAACAATACTATAAATTTTGTCTGAAATAAACTTTTTATAATTGAATCCGTGTTTATATTGAACAGATTGAAAATATAATATTGATATTGAATAAATACAACATCACATGCAAATTATGTGAGTTTACACATGTATTTCAATCAACAAAGAAGACAATTTTTTGGTCAGGTAAATTAATCAATGAGTGATAGATTTCTCCTAGAAGAAATTTAAAGGTCCCAGTGAATAAACTACACAGAGAACAATAGCTATTGTATTTATTCAATGGGACAATAGAACAGACAAAAGTTTAAATACCTTGATCAAGAGCAGATGACTCGGAGGAAAACTTTTATTTGGTTCGCAATAAGTAAAATTGTATCTTCCTGGATATTTGACCTCATGCTTTTCCCCAATATCGGTGTAAAAGCTTTTTATAGAAAATTTGTACTTCGTTGAAAATTTAAATTTGTGGTTAACTTATTCACACATTTTTTTTTAAAAGTGGATGCTGGTGTCTGTTGGTGATTCATTCTGAAATAATTGTCTGTCTATTCTTTAGGTATTATACGAGTCATAAAAAGTGTGTGTTTACACCCCAAGTCACAAGCAATTTCCCCATTTTCATTCTCTCACTTCATAAGCAAGACTTGACTTGAACTGAATCACTTTGTGTGTTCTATAAATAGAAATTTTAATTTGTACACCAAACTTACCATGTGGCTTAGAATCAGTAAATGATTTGAATGTTTCCTCCCATAGATCTGGCTCCTCCTCCTTCTTTTGTTCTTCCTCAGCAGGCTTTTCTTCAGAATTTTCATCTCCTTCCTGTAAACATACATGAATTATAAAATATCTTGGCATCTATTCTACAGTATTTTCTTCAATTTTAAAAAATATTGTGCAATATTTGTAATAAAACACAACAAAATAAAATAATTCAAATTTGCCTAAATTCTATGAAAGTACATGCATTCATTTCATAATTCTTCAAATTGCATAATGTACACAACATAAAACTAACTTTTATTGCACAATTTCAAATGAAACACATTCATATCAAATCCTCTTTAGAAATTTCAAGGTTTCAATATAAAATTTTGAAAATGAGCGAACTTTTCATACTGTAAATGGCTAAGAACTGTGCAGGACTCATAGATATGCTCTAGTCATAGTTTAAAATACTTGAATACTGTTTCAGCTTTTTGTTTTTTTCATACATTATTACACAGATCATCAAGAGACTATTCTTGTTAATAAAAAATTGCAGAACAATTTGCAAGCACTCCCGCTTTCATCATCAATAAAAACTGGCAGACCCTAGCAAATAGAACTGAAAGTGGCATTAAACACCAACAATCAATCAATCAGAACAACCCGAGTAGTTTGCTATTTATTTTATCATTTACCTTTGGCTCTTCTCCTTCTTTCGCTTCTTCAACATTTTCTTCAGGCTGGGCTTCTCTGAAAGGTGCGGAAAACCATGAGAATATAGAAGAACCTGCCTTATTTAACCAGCCCCTAAAACAGCAGATAATACAGGGCTAAATCCCATTAGAAATCTTTCTGTGCCCTTTAAATATCCTGCATGCCTTGTTAGATCTCCCTCAAAGCAAGCCAAAAATTAATCTTTGTGTAAAGCAGTGTTTGAATGATATGCATGTAACCTGTGTGATAAAATTTAAATGACCAAAAATAAAGTCATTCTGTGCAGTAGTTTCTGAGAAAAATATGACAAAAAGTATTATGTTCAATCAACTTATTTTAAGATTCAAAGTATCTGTAAACAGGAAGTAGGTATCCGAGAGATCCCAAAAATTCTCACACCTTACAACTCATCAATGTCAAGATGCTGACCAAATATGAAGTCATTGTGTTTTGATGAATGGTGATGACACATCACTGCATTAAAACTTTTTATTGAACAATGTCTACAACAATTGTGTATCCATACTTACTGCTTATGTCTATAATGTTCAAATTTGAGAAGACCTTGAGCATTTATACTGACAACTGGTTCATCTTCTGTATAAAAGTCTATACGGAATGGTTTAAAACTAATCACTATTTTATTTTTCTCTATTCCTAATGTTAAACTTTGACTAGTCTGTTCCAACTTTTTCAATCTGAAAGTACAACAAATACTTGTTACTGAAATAAAAGAATTTTGTTTTCTTACTATCTACATTAACAGGAAAGAACACCTGCCTTTCCTGTTTAGTTTATAAAATGTCCAAAAACAAATACAAACCAACCGCAACAACAAAAGACACTTCACAAGTGGACAACCTCTTTTCAAAATTTCAAACACTTGTAATTAGTCTTTATAATATGATTTATATATAAATGTGGTTCATAAAATTATGTCAATTGGATCTTTATATCATAGATAAAAAATTTCAATGCTAAGGGTGTTTTTCCAGCAAATCTTAATTAAATTTATACATGTATATGCCTATTTCAAACAAATGTTATATATTAAGAAAGTCCTCTAAAATTGTAATTCATGTATAGCATGAAACTTCTTTACAAGCCTTGGTGAATGTGTGCTCCAGAGAATTTACATCAATTTAGTGTGTCAGACTACAGTAAAGGTTTCAAATTTGCTCTGGTAAATGACCCGATGCCCTCAATTTATCAATATATATGACAGATTTTTTAGTCACTCACTGAATGTTGGTTCTTTTACTGAGGGCTCTATGTTTCCTCCATAATAAACCATACTACCATGTTCTTCTGAAAATTTTATGTTTGTTTGTTTGGTAAATAATGTATTCTTTATTACCTATTTCCGTTATCCTTTTGTGAACCTGTTCCATGATTCTATTGACAAATGATTTCTCTTTCAATAGGCACAATGAAGAAGACGACCGTAATATTGATATCAAAGTCATTGGGTCAACCTATGAAATAAGCAAATTTAACTTCTTTGTTCTTTGAACACACTTTATTAGATTACATGTAAATACAAAATGCACCTTATAACCTATGCCAGCAAATAAAACATACCCTTGTCTTTTTGGTTCCTCCACCAACACATCTCCAACAGGAATTTCGTATCTTTGTTTAATTGGTTCTACTTCATTGATTTTGATTCTTGCTGTACTTCTCTCTAGTCCTGATAATTCTAATGTAAGTTTGACATTAGTGATTGTATTAAGTAGTTGTAGATTGACTGATGTAGACTGTACATTGACTGTTTCTGGTAATACTTCATATGAACTTTGACCTGGGGTCATTGCCCTATGCCTCCTGAAAAAAAACCACCACTAAAACATAAAACTGTCTGTTTTTATTTATAACTCTTGCACAATGTGTACACTTGAATGTAGAGATACAATTTCTTGCAATTGAATGTGACAGGTCAGTGGATAAGCTACAGTTATATCCACGAATGGCAAAGTAAACCCTTTTCTGATAAGAAGAGGACAGCAGGATGAATTTACAAATAAAAAATGTTAAAGGTTGACCACATACAATCTTTTTTGTAAATGCAAATGCATTAGTTTTGTTTGAATTAAATACATCAAATAGATTTTGTTTAAGACCAACTCTTTAAAAGTATTTCAAAAAGCATTTAATCAGAGTAAAATCTAACAATCTGCTAGTATGTAATATAATTTAAAACAGCTAAAGTACATGGGTTTGCATTTATTAGTAATTAGTTAGCTTCTTTGTCAACTTAATTGCTGGTAAACAAGTAAAAATGTGCTTCAGTAATAAGATCAATACAGGGGTGTGGAAATATTTGTTGTGAGCATTTGTCCCTGGGCAAGTAAAACAGTAAATTTTACTTGTCTGGAAAAAATTTACTTGCCCTGTATATCCAAATATATATTGGAGGTATTTCACTATAAGCTTGTATGATTCTTAAAACTGTTTTGCTTCACAATATAAATGATGTTTGAGATATTTGTTTATGTGTATAAATAAAAGGAGGTATGGATTTAGCATCAATGAAGTTTCTTCACTGGAGAGCCAGGGGAAATTTATAAGCTAGGACATCTAGAATTCTCGATTCTGTTTTCTTTTTCATATTCCCTGTCTTTCTCCGCCTGCATTTTTAGTTTTTTACTCGAATCATTATTATCATTTTTGTTACATTTTGTCTTGATAACGAGGTCTATGTGTTCTTATCAGGTATTTATCCATCTCAATAGAACTCAGTCGAGAAAAATTAAAATGACACCTCCATTAGATAAGGGATAAAACCTAATCAACTATCCCAGATCAACGGAAAAAGATAACTTAATGTTTATGAGACCCAGGTGCACATACTGTTTTTTTATGTTGTTTATCGATCTATTTCCAGTTTTATTTAATTCATGAACATTGATGATTTTACTTGAATGTGTTTTTCACATGTTGATCATTTGTTTTATTTACCTAATATAACACATCTTAATAAGTTGAGAAAATAATTCAGTATTTTTGATTCAATTGAATTTTGTTAAGTGTAATTTTTTACTTATCCTCAGGCAACCCAGACAAAAAAAAATACTTGTATAGGTGTTCAAATGTACAAGTCAGGCATAGCATTTCCACACCCCTGCAATGTTGCATATTTTTTTCATTTCTTATAGGTATTATCATTAAGTAAAGCTTGGAATGAAAATGAAGTCAATTTCTACTGTTTTCCAGTAATAATAATGATTCAAAGCATGTTTCTGGATAATTTATATCAGGTTTTTTTTCAGACAGGAATTGTGTCTCCAGGATGTGTGAATGCCTTCATATGGCAAACCATTTTCCCAAATATCAGTCTTTAAATTTTTGAGTTACATTTATCATTCATTTTCCCTCTCTGTACTTACTTGCAGAAACCACTTTGTTGACATGTCTTAAAATTATCTCTATTGACAGCCACAGACGACTGGATCAGCAAAATCAATGTTACAAAAATCTGCTGCATAACCCTGTAAAATAAATATTACATTTAATACACTGAAAAAATCATGCAATAAAATTTAAAACAACCAAATTCATGTAAAATCACAGGACCACCAGATTTTTAGTCATGGTGTCCCAATGACCACCAGGAAAAAAAGATTTCAAGAACTCTGAGATGTGGTGTGAATGCCAATGAGACAACTATCCACCAGAGACCAAATGACAGGGATGCACTTGTGTAAGCAACTACAAGTCACTGTATGGCCTTCAACATGACAGTTAACTATTTATATGTATGCTGTTCTGTTATCAAATATTCTCTTAGCCACCAGCATAAGTTCAATTTCATCCTCATTTTGAACAAGGTTATCTGTTTTTGGCTTAATATGAATCCTGAAGATGCTACATGTAGATGTATATAAAATGTATCCTCATATAAATTTAGAAGGTACTAATCATCATAAATGTTTAGTTGAAAAACAGATCTCAAAAACAACAGAAATCTGTGAAATCCAAACAAATGAAGAAATAATAATTGATAAATGGTATGTCTTCTTTTAAATTTTTCTCTATATACCGGTACTATGATAATTAATCATTATTGAAATTTAGTTTTTTAAGTAAACCATAAACAGCAATAAGACTAAGCCTTGACAAAAGTGTAAGGGACCTAGGGACTTTTTAAAAATGAGTTAAAAGGCAAAGAGATCATTCCTTGTCATCTTCTTCTTCCAGATTAATATTAGCATGGTTAAGAATAATATATTTCTAACTATTTCTCATCAAAATTTCATCATATTCATTTGCTTCCTGCTTATCAATTTCAGTGTAAGAATTACAGGTAAGACCATGTTTATTGTGAGATACTTTAAAGCATCCTATTAGAAAAAACAGATTTATTAGTGTCCTGCATTTTTATGCAAGTTTGCCGAAATGAATATATTAAAATAAGTTACAATAGGTTTCGATACAAAGTAATTTGATTTGAGTTATTTCCCTTGGCTATATAATTTTGGAGGGGTGAATGGTTGATTTTCTTATTTGACTAACCAAATTGAAACATGCGTTACAAACCAGTCTGATAATAATAAGAAATCCTTACTAGATCGTAGTGGTGAATCAGACAACGCTAAAAGAAATTAAAATTGTTCAAAACACAATTTTTTCTAAAGTCTAGCCGTCAGTGTAACAAGTTGATTTTGGTTGATTTATGATGGAATTTCTGCGCATAGATCTCCAACATGACAAAACTAGAGGCACTAAAGCCTGTGTCGCTCACCTTGGTCTACATGTATGTGCATATTCAACAAAGGACACACTCCAACATTGTAGGAGAGAATAGAATTCATGGCAAAAATCTCTGTTTTGTTGATCTTGTATTCCTGATCAATTTATATATCTATTATAATTTTTATCATTTAAGGCAAAACGCCAAAAAAATGGTAATAAAATGCTTCGCTGAGCGCAGCCTGATACGACCGCAGAGGTCGAACCCTGAACAGTTGGTACAAATTTGGACACAATATTCAAGCTTGATACTGTCTGAATTTGGATTGTGATCAAATTTTTGACATAATATATATTTCTGACACAAAATAAATGTGGTCAAAGATCTTACAAATCTATTTCGCAATACTGTGCAATTGAAGATTTCTTCTTGAAACTTTTCAAAAATTCAAAATTTGAAAAATTTTGAAAAAAAAATATGAATCCTCTAAAAAAATTGGAAAAAAAAATTCCCCCCCCTAACTTTTTGAAACCCCCCTTGGAGCAATAACCCCAAAACTCGATCCCAGCCTTTCCTTTGTAGTATGGAACCTTGAAGTACAATTTCAGAGAGATCCATACACCTAAACACAAGTTATTGTCTGGAAACTAGAAAAATGCTTGTTTTTGGCCCTTTTTTGGCCCCTAATTCCTACATATTTGGGCAATTAACCCCAAACTCAATTCTAGCCTTCCCTTTGTGATATGGAACCTTGTGGTACAATGTCAGAGAGATCCATACACTTACACACAAGTTATTGTCTGGAAACTAGAAAAATGCTTGTTTTTGGCCCCTTTTTGGCCCTTAATTCCTAAACTGTTGGCCCCATAACCCCTAAAATAAATCCCAACCTTCTACTTGTGGTATTAAACATTGTCGTACAATTTCAGAGCAATCAAAATACTTATACACAAGTTATTATCCTGAAACTAGAAAAATGCTTGTTTTGGGCCCTTAATTTCTAAACGGTTGGGACCGTCATCCCCAAAATCAATCCCAACCTTCCTTTTGTGGTATTGAACCTTCTTAAAAAATTTCATAGAGATCCATTCACTTAGACTAAAGTTATTGTCCGGAAACCAATGTGTAATAAAATGCTCCGCAGGGCGCAGCTTGATACGACAGCAGAGGTCGAACCCTGAACAGTTGGGGCAAGTATGGACACAACATTCAAGCTTGATACAGCTCTGAACTTGGATTGTGATTAAATATTTGACACAGCATAGTTTCTGACACAGAATGAATGTGGTCTAAGAACTTAAAAATTTTAAATTGGACATTCACCTATTATGGTCCAATATCCAAAATCTAAATACATGGTTAGATTCAGCATATCAAAGAACCCCAAGAATTCAATTTTTGATGAAATCAAACAAAGTTTAATTTTGGACCCTTTTGACCTCAATGTGGACAAAGTTGATAACGGGGACCAAAAATCAAAAATCTAAATACATGGTTAGATTCAGTATATCAAAGAACCCCATATATTCAATTTTTGTTGAAATCAAACAAAGTTTAATTTTGGACCCCGATTTGGACCAACTTGAAAACTGGGCCCATAATCAAAAATCTAAATACATGTTTAGATTCAGCATATCAAAGAACCCTAAGAATTCAATTTTTGTTAAAATCAAACTAAGTTTAATTTTGGACCCTTTGGACCTTAATGTAGACCAATTTGAAAACAGAACCAAAAATTAAGAATCTAAATACACGGTTAGATTCGGCATATCAAAGAACCCCAATAATTCAATTTTTGATGAAATCAAACAAAGTTAAATTTTGGACCCTTTGGACCTCATTGTGGACCAATTTAAAAACAGGGCCCAAAATCCAAAAACTTAATACACGGTTAGATTCAGCATACTAAAGAACTCCAAGAATTCAAGAATAAAACCCCATTGAAATTGATCAAGAAATAAGCAATTTATACGAAGTATCTTCTTTTGCACAATACTGTGCAATTGAATATTTCTTGCTATTGCGCAATACTGTACAATTGACAATTTCTTGCTATTGCGCAATATTGTGCTATTGGATATTTCTTGCTATTGCGCAATACTGTGCAATTGAAGATTTCTTGCTATTGCGCAATACTGTGCAATTGAAGATTTCTTGCTATTGTGCAATACTGTGCAATTGAAAATTTCTTGCTATTGCACAATACTTATTATATAATAATTTACACATCCTGTTTGGTGTGTATCTCCTACCATATCATTATTATTTGCTTTTAAATATAAATCAGAAATAACCAACTTAACCCTTTCCTCCATGGAAATTTTTTTTTTACATACTTGATTTGCATAGGATTTTTCATTAAAATGCTGAAAATATGCTTACTTTAATGAAATATTGACTGTACCTCTAATAGACCAGTTAGACATTTGAAATTTTTTGTCAGTTATACATTTAAGTCAGATCTTCAAAATTTACTAAAAAAAAATTTTTTAATATTGTTGCCATGGTAACAGATTTATCCAAATATAAAATTAAAATGGTTAAATTTTGGGTTAAATCTTGTAATATCAATTTGTTTCTAAGAAAACAATGAGAGAATTGAATGTACATAAATAATCTGAATGGAAACTTTATTTTCTTTAAAAATTGTCTATTTTTTCCCTCATAGCAACAGAAGTATTTCCGTAGCAACCAAAGAAAATTGTGATTAAAATTTGAATTTAAAAAAAAAATTGGTGAAAATATTTAAAAATAAGGTTTTTACAGGTTAATCAAGATGACTCATATATTGGAATATATTATGGAAAATAATATTGTACATTATTTTTCCCTAGCAACAGTTTCTGTTCATAGCAACCAACTGAAATCCTGTATAATAAGTAAAAAATGATCAGTTGACAGTTAGATATTTTGGATGATAACAAATGGAAACTTTTTATCACAACATTGCTCTTGAAAAAGATTTAACATATGTGTGCTCCTAGCATCCAAATAAGGCCCAAGAATCAGACTAAAAAGTAGGTGCTTAGGCCAACAAATTAGAAAATGCATTATTAGTTATCAGATATCTTGTTTCTAAAAGAAAATCTATGATGTTTGCGAAGTTGTTTAACAAAGACCTTTTTGTATACTAGTAGTGATAAATATCACAGTTTGAAAAGGCAATATGAAAATAATAGCATGTGGTATAGTTTCTTTTTATTACATTTTTGTACACCATTTTGCATCTGGTTTTAGTTGTGTTCAATGGAACACTGACACTGTCATTGTTAACAACATGCTGATTATGCATACGCCTGTTTCTCTTTGTAAAGTCCCCTTGAAAATGTAACATCAATCCTGAAATCTAGAAGGGTATTAAACTTTTTCCTATGTTGATATCCTGCTGTGCGTTTCATCACAATTTGAATTTATAAAAAATAAAAACATTATTTCAATTTAGGTTTTTTCCTATATAGACAAACCCCTTCCCCTCCAGAAATAACAATACATTAACTTGAAAGAATTCAGCTAACCTCTTCCCCAGGGTTAGGTATTTTCTTTGCATCATTCCTTCTTCTAGATACACAGAAGATTTGAAAGAAAAAAGATGAAGGAAAGGTTCCATTCATTTGTAAAACACGAATCATACATATATGCATATCTTTCAAAATCTACAATAGATAGCCATTACATTGATTGGTTGTTTGTTTCACGTGCAGTGGCAATTATTTCATGCATATTCAGAAGGAGGTCCTTATAAATCCTTATTTGTTAACCTCTTCTCAATGCTAGTCTTCTAAAGATCTTTCTGTAGACTGTTTTGCATACAATAATGAAATAAGGAAATGTGGTAAGATTGCCAATGTGACAACTTTTCAACAGTCCAAATGATGTGGATGTAAGACAATGACCATTCATAGTTTATGTGTTATGCATGTTATGACAAAATGTGAAGCAATCCACACTAGAAAACCAACGGCCTGATTTATGCTAAAAGGGTAAACAAAAAGATGATAGACAGCAACCAACAACAACCACGGAATAATAGGCTTCTGACTTTGGACAGAAACATACATAATGTGGTTGTGTTAATTATGATTATGAGCGCACATTACTCCCCAAAGATGGGCAAAAGGGACATTCAAACGCATAAGTTGAAATAAACTGACAACACAATGGTAAAAAACGAAAAAGAAAAAAGACAATCAACAGTATACAAAACACTATATAGAAAACTTAAGACTGTGCAACACAAACTTGGGCAGTGATTCAAATAGACAATAAATGTGGATAGTGTCCACATGTGGACACAGATGATGCCCCCGCTTGCATATCATATAGTTATAAAGGGACATAACTGAAGAACGGTAAAAGTGACGCTACCCAAATTTGAACTTGATCTGAGTTTTGTGGTAATAAGCATTGTGTGTAAGTCTCATAAAATTTGGTTGAGGCAAACTCAAGTTAGAGAACGGAAACCAATTTTGGGATGTACGTACGTACGTACGTACAGACAGACATGGGTAAAACTTAATGCCCCCACCGCTACGGCAGGGGCATAAAAATAGGAATAAAATGTAAAAGTCTGCTTTGAATGGCTTGAATCGATGTAGATAGGAGTGCTAAGCATCCATCCAAACACATGCTCTTTAATGGCTGACTTGCCTCATTAGATTGGCAAGAAGTACATATAAAAAAAATTAAAAAAAACAAAACATGTGAGTGAGTGAGTGAGTGAGTATTGATCTAAGAGTACACAGTTACTGAAAGCTAGTTTAAAGCCAATTAATTATAACTATTAATAGGTTTTTTTTTCTCCCAGACTAACAAAGTATTAGTCATTAACAGCCAGTGGAAGTAGAAAACAAGTTCCTCAAAAATCAACTTGAAAAAAATTTGCAACATACAATGTATGAACATGACATGTTCTTTCATCAAAGTTTAGGATACTAATGTTATTTGATATCCCTGTAACGGTTGTTCCTCTACTAAACATTAATAATAAGATGTGCTGATCAGTTGATTGCTTAAATTTAAGGTAGCTGTTAATCAAATGATTAACTACATTTTTACTTCTATCTCGAATTTTGATTCTCTGAAACCCGAAATACGGCGAAATCGTGATGAGAAAAATGCACGTATGTCTGTTCTTTTAGTCTGACATATTTTATAAATGGGAAGTGAACCGCAAAGTTAAGGCTCTGTAATTTGTTAGTCAAATTGTTACTACTAAAACAAAGTGGTTCACGGAACCATATGCCTTCATAATTGTTGAAATAAACATCGCGGAAAAAATATTCATCATCTTTTGTTTGTGTAAACATCACTGTAAAAACGGTAAATTCTATTGGTGGGCGGGGCTTAGAATCACAACTTACGGATGCTGAATATTGTTGCATAATTCGCTATTCTCGTTAATTTAATTGAAGAACTTAAAATAATTATGATTGAAACTTAAATGTCACTTTCTATAAGCAAAAACATTGAAAGATTGTACGTTGAAAGATTTTTTTGTGGTCATTAAAATTTGTATGTTCCCGCCCACTTAATGACTCGCCGGAAGTCGTATAATGGGATTCCCCAAACACATGTTTACATTTTACAAGTTGCTATATTTGTTCACTCAATGGGTCAGAAAAGAATTGTATGGACTCGACTGCATATCTCCGCGTTGTTCATTAAATTTCTGATATTTCAACGTAAGTTTAAAAAAAAAAATGCTTTTGTTGCAATAATGTACGACTCCAAAGCGAGAAAAGCGGCAGTGAACACTCGGAGTTTCAAAATAAAGTTTTTCTTACGGAAAATAATTTTTTACGCAAACTGTATCGTAAACATTGATTATTAGGTATTTTATAACCAGTTGGTATTAATAACCAACAATAAATGTAGTTAATGTGACAATGTCAGTGTTCTGAAACTTGGTTGTCAACAAGAACTTCGAAAAAATGGCGACGGCTATTTATAAATAAAAAATCGGCACGTTTAAAGTATTAATGCATTGCGAAAACAAATATTTCATCAATGAAATTCAAGTCAGATGTTTTTATGAATATCCTTTTTATATTGGATACAAATTTTATTAAGTCTGATACAGACATTTCGTAGTCAAAGTGTTTCAACTGAGGTACTATACAGAGGCGTCAAAAGGCGTCATTATGGAGTAAAGGGGGTGGCGTCAAAAGGCGTCATTACGGAGGAAAGGGTTAAAATGGAAAATAAAAAAAAAAAAAAAAAAAATCCCCCCCCAAATTTTTTGAACCCCCTTATGATTCATCACCCCCAAACTCAATCCCAGCCTTCCCTTTGTGGTATGGTACCTTGCAGTACAATTTCATAGAGATCCATACACTTGAACACAAGTTATTGTCTGGAAACTAGAAAAATGCTTATTTTTGGCCCCTTTTTGACCCCCAATTCCTAAACGTTTCGGGCAATTATCCCCAAACTCAATTCCAGCTTTCCCTTTGTGATATGGAACCTTGTAGTACAATTTCAGAAATATCCAAACACTTACACACAAGTTATTGTCATGAAACTAGAAAAATGCTTGTTTTTTGCCCCTTTTTTGGCCCCTAATTCCTAAAATTTTGAGGCAATTACCCCCAAAATCAATTACAGCCTTCCCTTTATGATATGGAACCTTGTGGTACAATGTCAGAGAGATCCATACACTTACACACAAGTTATTGTCTGGAAGTTACAAAAATGCTTATTTTTGGCCCCTTTTTGGCCCCTAATTCCTTAACTGTTGGTACCATAACCCCCAAAATCAATCCCAACCTTCCTTTCGTGGTATTGAACCTTATGGTAAAATTTCATGGAGATCCATTCACTTAAACTAAAGTTAGAGTGCGAAAACCAATGTGTCTTCGGACGACGACGACGACGCCAACGTCATACCAATATACGACCAAAAAATTTTTAATTTTTGCGGTCGTATAAAAATGGTTAAAATCGTCCTAAAAGGGCAATAACTCCAATAAGGAGTCGTCGGACAATTTCCTCAATAAAGTCTTAATTGTAGATCTCGTCTTACTGATTATTTACATTTTACATAACCCCTAAAATAAATCCCAACCTTCTACTTGTGGTATTAAACATTGTCGTACAATTTCAGAGCAATCTAAATACTTATACTCAAGTTATTATCCTGAAACTAGAAAAATGCTTGAACAAAATCCTAATCGATTTTCATCATCGCCAATCCCAACTAACTGATATCCGACCTATTCCAATCATCGAAACAACATTAATTAAACGTAGCTCCATAAAGGGGCCCAGGAATCCTGACCCCCCCCCCCTGAACCACCTAAATCTGCCTCTGGCATAACAGTTTATGAGAGCTAACAACAAAGAACATTCTTTGGAGCTCACCACTGGAGAATTTTCCTAAATTATTATTAAGCATGGTCTTATAAAATTTACTATACAACTGATTTCTTTCCTCACGAAAGACTTGAAACAGTCCAAACTCAACAGTTATCACTTTATATTTCATGTTTACATGTAAGTTCTCATTACAGATCTATGCCAAATACTGGTAATTAGATTTTTCCCGTTATGAATTTTTTTATCCTAAAAATTGTCACTGTTTTTCTAGGATTTGGCTGTATGTTTAAAGACTGAACTCAAAATTAACTAGAACAAACAAAAACTAACAGAATCAACCCTTTACAAACTAGCCCAAAAGTCTATTTTCCCTTCCATTCGGGCATGACAACATTTTGATAGTTTCATTATTTCTAAAAATTACCTTGCATTAATATTATGTTATATACTTTAGCTGAAGACGTTACAAAGGCAGGTGTGTGTTCAAGATATCGAGTCAGATATCCTAAACGTATCAAACATTTTACTGATTCCGATTGTGTATTGATGATGTGGCCAACCAACCAGATTCAACCACGCAAACGACCTAGATCAATTTTTCAGGTGCCCGGTGTGTGCAAGTGTCCTATATTATATTCCACACGCTGTGGCAACTTGATATAAATAAATATATAAAATTGTAATTGTATTTTTGATGTACTCTCATACTTCTGTCAAAATCACCTATGAATGAAATCAATATAAAGAGACAATAAATGAAATAACTCAAATAACTACCACAAAGAGGGGGTTTCCATCTTTGTTATTTGGAAAAGTTTAGCATTTGAATTATAGTTTGTTTTCGGAAAAAAAATGATTATTAACAAAACCTAAGTTTACTGGAAATTTCTCGTATATATAAATTGTTATAACTAATTCTCAGTATAATTGGCAACATAGCTATAATAAAAAAAACATGTTATATAAATTTTGTTTTCGTATTTCGACTGGTCCTTTCTACGGTTTGTTCAAAACTGAAGACCGGTAATCAAGGATGATGACTTTAATCTGGGAGTCCTAGCTTTAATGACATGCGATGATTTCATCAAAATATGATCAAAGACATATGTCTGTGATAAGATTAAATGCCAACCGGACAGTAAATGCAGAGACATATAATACAATTGTAATGTGTATGGTGAAAATAATATTTATCCAAATATTTTCTTCTCTAGACCGAAGACTGAGGTATCGTAAATGAATGTGTACTTGTAAAGTGCAAAAGCTGGAGAAAAGAAACGAAATAAATATACCCCCAAATCTATTGTTTCTATCTCAAGGTTAGAGAGATGTTGTATTATGAGTGTCAAAAAGGGGATCTTCGTTTCTGTATTAAAAAAATTTATGCTAAATTGCTTCCATTACTAGAATAATTTATACTAAAACAACTTAGCATTACCTTATGTAATGTTACAGTGTATACTGTGTTTAGCCTTCTCCACACCACCATATATGTTTTGTATATTATATTGTTATATGTTGTTTATTGTGTTTTGTTCTTGTTGGTGCTTATAACCACATGTATGTTTTTAACAGTCACGTTGTGCTTGTATGAATTTTTACAACAGAAAACCATCCTTGCCAAATGTGTTAGATGTTGTATTTAAGACACATTTTAGTTTTGACCAATATACTGCTGCCAAAAATCCAAATTTCAGTATTTTTTTTTTATATTTTGCTTTTGATTTTGTTATCTACTTATTTATTATTTCCTCTTCTGTCTTTTCTTTTTCTCTAAAATTGATTCCTTCTTTATTGAACAATACTATGGAAATAATGGATACATAATAATATACTGATGTATATTTCAGAATTTAGAATAGATATACAATCTAATGTTTAACGAGGCCGGGATTTGGTACCGGTACTTTCTGTATCTAAGTAACAAATGTTAAAATTTTCAATAAGTATGATGAAATTAAAAAAAAAAAAAATGTATGTCATTATTCAGGGCCTATTATTTATTTATAGTTTAGCATCCCATTAATCTCTATTCTTAATTTTAAGGCAATTTTTCTAGAACTATTTTTCTAGCCTATTGCGATCTTTTCTGTAAACCATGTCCAGACTCTCTAATATCAACTTTGAATAATGAATAAATTCCTCTGTTACCATTGGCCTAAATCGAAGCAAACCTTGACAATGAGTCCCTGTGGATGGAGGTACAACAATTAATTGATCCCATGTCCTCCTTAGCTAACCAACATAGCCACATTTAGAAAATAATGATTAAACCAATACAAAATCGTAATCTTGGCCAATTGGAAATAAACTTTGGGTGAAATGACGGATTTATTAACCCCTCAGAATCATTGTTGAAGATCTAAACAGCCGGGGGCATCACTAGTTTGATAGTTACTCTCACTTAGTAAGAAAATTTCATACGTTGTAATAATCTGTTGTGTCTGTAAACAATAGATACAGTTTTTGCCGCGGAAAGAGAGTTGTGTCAAGTATATATATATAGGGTCTTTGCATCGGAAATAAACACATTTATTCTAAAACCAGTTGTTGGCATAAATTGGGTTATGTTTTTCTCATATATTTTATGATGGTATGATACTAAACCCCTAACGGGAGTGATTGTGCTTGATTTCCATATGATGAAGACATAATCTTTCAAGCAGTTTAAATGAGGTCTGGAGCTGGCATTTCAGTAACTGCTAGTAGTCCTTTGTTAATCTATTTATCATTGTCATTTTGCTTAGTTTATTTTGTTACCTATTCTGACATCGGACTCGGACTTCTTTTGAACTGAGTTTTACTGTGCGTATTGCTGTGTGTTTGTTTATTCTACATTGGCTAGAGGTATAGGGGGAGGGTTGAGATCTCACAGAACATGTTTAACCCCGCCGCATTATTGCTACTGTCCCTAGTCAGGAGCCTCTGGCCGTTGTTAGTCTTGTATGTTTTTTTAATCTGAGTTCATTTATATGTTTTAGAGTTTAGTGTGACGTCCATTTTCACTGAACTAGTACACATTTTTGTTTAGGGGCCAGTTGAAGCCCGCCTCCGGGTGCGGGATTTTCTCGCTGTGTCGAAGACCCATTGGTGGCCTTGGGCTGTTTTCTGCTCCTTGGTCGGTTTGATGTCTCTTTGGCACATTCCCAATTTCAATTCTACATTTTATAAATAACCGAATACAGTCAAGACTGGTATTATATGTCTCTTGTGAAGCCAAAATATATAACTAACTAGAATTTAGAAAGTGATGAAGTTGAAAGTTTAACATCAGATGCCTACTGTTTATTGATGAAATTACATGTATTGTGGTTTTTTTTCTCGAAAAAAATCCTTTGCTTTATATATCTGCAGTCTGACATTGTTTTCTTGAAAGAAAAAGAAAATTATAATTGACTCGAATGTCTGGTATCAAAATTGAATAAAAGATTATTTTACCTACATCTTTGCCCCCATTTCATTTTTTGTTTGTTATATATATATATATGTACCATGATAAACATTTGCAAAAATTCAATAAGTTTTTTTTATAATTCTATTCTCTTTCATCTTTAATCAGTAGGCTATTTTCCCAAGGAAAATGCCTCAGGGGATTGTACACTACGTTAGTGTAGTTATTAAGAGTTCCCTTTATGATTAAGATTATGATAAGTCATTCATGTAAAGCATTTTATAGTGCATGGAAAGCCATGTACTATGAAAAATTAGAAGGGAAAAAACTGACTTTTCATTGGACGAGAAGGGGTGAGTATGTTCTAAGAAAAATATAAGGCAAGATACCGATTTTCCTTTGAACGAGAAGGGGTGAGTATGTTCTAAGAAAAATATAGGGCAAAATACCGATTTTCCTTTGAACGAGAAGGGGTGAGTATGTTCTAAGAAAAATATAGGGCAAAATACCGATTTTCCTTTGAACGAGAAGGGGTGAGTATGTTCTAAGAAAAATATAGGGCAAAATACCGATTTTCCTTTGGACGAGAAGGGGTGAGTATGTTCTAATTGGCAGATTAGATCACATCTGACTAAGTTAGTTGATTGCTTTTAAATTGTCTATTGTACTATCTTAGAATATTGTTCTCTATATTCCATTAATAACAATAACAATAACAATAATAATAACAGTAACAATAACAATAACAATAATAATAACAATAATAATAACAATAATAATAAATATAATAAGAACAATAACAATAATAAGAACAATAGCAATAATAATGATAATAACAATAATAATAACAATAATAATAAATATAATAATAATCATTGAATAATAAGAACAATAATAATAATAATGATAACAATAACACTAATAATAATAACAATAACAATAATACAATAATAATAACAATAATAATAGATATAATAATAATAATAACAATAATAATGAATATAATAATAATAATAACAATAATAATAATAATAACAATATCAATAATAATAAATATGATAATAAATGATAATAATAATAAAGCAAACCTTCAAGGCTCCTCTATTAGAAATGTATGTCGACTTTATCTTTACAAATTGGGGACTCGCGCCCAAAATTGGCACTAAATTAACACTGTAACAGTTTTTTAAATAATGTGTATCAGAACTGACCTACCTGTCTTTTATTTCGAAATATTGGATGGGAACCAGTCGGGACTTTTTATTTCCGGTTAAAGTTGTTTACATTGCCAACTCTTTTTCGCTTGATTTGACGTATGGATATTTCGTAAATACCGACATCCTGGACGGAAAATGGCTTGTTGTGGCCCAGAAGCGATACGAATTAAAAGTAAGTCGTAAATTTCGTAAATAAACTATTTCGATCACCAATCTTGGTTATGGATCTCAACACCAATAGATGTATTCAGATCTTAATCAATCTCATCAATATAATACGTTACATTGTGCATTAGCAGTATGATTTCTGATATTATATTTCCACATGGATGATTACCAATACGAGCGAAAGATGAAATATTTTAAGTCGTAAATAGGCAACAAATCCCTTCTTGTCAATTATTTTATAAGTAAGAAAACTTCTCTCATGATTTAACTTTTATATTAAAACACTGGATACCACTATCACAAATCGTCAATAACTGGCAGTTAATCTACTGTTTTGTCAGAAATGAGAATAAAATAATAATAGACAATTTTCATGAAATAATTTTAGTCAACATAATTTCGAATGAGCTCCTATATAGGACGTTTTCATTCGTGTTATCAGATACATATCGGCTACAATAGAATAGCAGTATATATGTCTCTGTTGTTATATATAATAGAATTGCAGTATATATGCCTCTGTTGTTATATATAATAGATTTGCAACAGAACGGTCAAATTGATCTAGGTTTTTGTCGAGCCTTCGACTTTAGTCGAAAAAGCGAGACATAGCGATCCTACATTCCGTCGGCGTCGTCGTCGTCGTCGTTGTCGTCGGCGGCGTCCACAAATATTCACTCTGTGGTTAAAGTTTTTGAAATTTTAATAACTTTCTTAAACTATCCTGGATTTCTACCAAACTTGGACAGAAGCTTGTTTATGATCATAAGATAGTATCCAGAAGTAAATTTTGTAAAAATAAAATTCCTGTTTTTCCGTATTTTACTTGTAAATGGACTTAGTTTTTCTGCCAGGAAACATTACATTCACTCTGTGGTTAAAGTTTTTAAAATTTTAATAACTTTCTTAAATTATCCTGGATTTGTACCAAACTTGGACAGAAGCTTGTTTATGATCATAAGATAGTATCCAGAAGTAAATTTGTTAAAAAAAAAAATTTCATTTTTTTCGTATTTTACTTATAAATGGACTTAGTTTTTCTGCCAGTTAACAATACATTCACTCTGTGGTTAAAGTTTTTCAAATTTTAATAACTTTCTAAAACTATCCTGGATTTCTACCAAACTTGGACAGAAGCTTGTTTATGATCATAAGATAGTATCCAGAAGTAAATTTGTTAAAAAAAATATTTTATTTTTTCCGTATTTTACTTATAAATGGACTTAGTTTTTCTGCCAGGAAACAATATTTTCACTCTGGTTAAAGTTTTTAAAATTTTAATAGCTTTCTTAAACTATCCTGGATTTGTACCAAATTTGGACAGAAGCTTGTTTATGATCAAAAGCTAGCATCTAGAAGGAAATTTTGTTAAAATTTGTACCTGTTTATCCGTATTTTACTTATAAATGGACTTAGTTTTTCTTCCAGTTAACATTAAATACAGTCTGCAGTTAAAGTTTTTAAAACATTTATTAGATTCATAAACTATCCTGGATTTATACCAAACTTTGACAGAAGCTTCTTACAATCAAAAGATACTATCTAAAGGAGTATTTTTATTGATTTTTTTTCCTCATTTTTGTTGAGCCTGCGATTAACAGCAAAAGTAGGCGAGACACTGGGTTCCGCGGAACCCTTACGAATTTTTTAATTTAAAGGGGTGCTCACTTTAACATGTATAGTATCACTAATACATGTAATAGAGGATAGATATGCAATCATTTGAATTTTATGGACGTTTTCATATATAATCATGATAATTGTACCAAACTTTTAAGTAAATAGTTTACCCTGTCCCACATCCCTTAGTCAATAACATATAGTAGACTAATATTTGACACACTTGATGGGTTTGACGATGTTCTATAGGTAATCATCTACATTTTTTGTACGTAACTTTGTTCAGTTACATGTAATAATACGAAATTAAAACACACAAATAATGTGTTTTTTCTCAGTGAAGTTAAATATTCTGTCTTTGGGATAATATGTAAGGGTAAGAAATGACCACTTTAGCCTAAAATGAAACCTCTTGCCTAAGAGTTTAGGATTTTTTTTTATTGAAGTCAAAAGTCACTGACACTGATCATTCTTTTTAACTTCTTTGGGTTTTTATCTAGTTTCCAGGTTATGAGCCAAAGTTGTAATTTATTTACTGAATACTGTAATATACTATAACCAGACTATTTGCTGGTTATCAAATGAAATTCAAGTCGGTATACAGTTTAACAATTTAATAAACGACACAACAAGAATATAAACAATCTTACAATATTGAGTCCGGTGATTACGGTTAGAGTCTTTCCAAAACTGAACATGAATTATTTTTAAGAACTATATCAAAGATAATACTAAAGAAATACATGTAACCATGGATTAAGCAATTATGGTCCATTGTTAAGATAATCTGCTAAAAACTGTCTTTGATACGTAGATACAAAGTCCATTTTCGGATAAGTATAGAAACATACATTTTAAACCAAAAGATAATTATGTGGGAAAATTTGAGCCATAGATGACAATTAAAAATATATAATGATTAAAGTCCGAAAGATGATAGTCCCAATAATTGACATGCTTTTCGTTCGGTCATAATACCAAGAAACAGGTTCTAACCAACTATTTCTTTAACTCAGTTACTAATTCTGATTTTTATCAATCTATCATATGAGTTATCGGAAATATATTATATACTATCAGATTATTCAATCCATCTTGTATTGGAAAGGATTTGCCTTTTGTCCAATCCCTTTGTTTGAATGTACGTTTGATATTTGAACAATAAAATACTTTCAATTGAATTGTTCAGTCAATCGTGTCTCCTAGGGTATTCGATAAACACAGGGAGATGCTTAAAGGCCGGTTATTTTTCATTCTGCAGATTTAGTCCAATATTTCTCTTGCCTATCCAAGTAAACTTTTACGATCACATTTTGATCCACAGAAGAATGTTTTTCTCATTATAAGATTAAGAAGGTGTGGTGTGGTTGCCAATAAGACAACAATCGATCAGAGACTGAAGTGAAAGTTTCAAGAAGTAACTATTATATTGATTTAGCAGGTCTTCCAATAAAAAAATACCATTACTTTGGTGATTAAAGATACATATGAGATTAATAATAGTAGGTAAAATAGAGCAAAATCTCTGTCGATCATAATTGATTAGTAATTTAAATGTTCAGCGTAAAAACCTTGAAATGGAACTTCTGCTGCTTTTTTTAATATAGATTAGACCGTTGGTTTTCCTGTTTGAATTGTTTTACACTAATCATTTTGGGGCCCTTTATAGCTTGCTGTTCGGTGTGAGCCAAGGCTTCGCGTTGAAGGCCGTACTTTGACCTATAATTGTTTACTTTTACACATTGTGACTTGGATGGAGAGTTGTCTCATTGTTACTCATACCAAATCTTCTTATTTCTATTTTCTGCTTAGTACAAGTCTGAGAGCAAATTTCTTTTCAAATGGTTCAAGCCTTCGACATTTATGTCGCGGAAGCGAGATATAGCGATCCGACATTCCATCGTCATCGACGTCAACATTTAGGTCCAGTCTGTGGTTAATGTTTTTTTAAACATCAATAACTGTCATACCTTCAATGAAATTTGGACAGCAGCTTTTCTATAACCAAAAGACAGTATTCAAAGCGAAATTTTGATGATATGTTTTTCTCCCTAATTTTTCCGTATTTTACTGATAAATGGTTTTTGCAGTTAACATTTAGATACAGTCTAAGGTTAATTTTTTAGTTATCAATAAGTTTGTCAAACTTTCATGGAGCAAATTGATCAGACACGTTTTTATGATCAAAAGAAAGAATCCTGAACTTTCAGTCATAAAACTTTACTCAGATGATCAAGAACTAACATGTGAAGAAAAAAAGTTAGATTTTTAAAAATTCTGTATTTTACCTCTTGCTTTTTACCGTCAACCATACACTTTTACTGTGACAGGAGCAATCGCATGTAGGTGAGACACAGGGTTCCGCGGAACCCTTTACGAGCATTAGCTGATGGTTCAAATGTTGTGTTGTTTCACCACTTTTCCAGGTTAGAGATGGGTTGAGCGCTCACAAAGACGTTTTAACCCGCCGCATTGTCGATGTGCCTGTCCCAAGCCAGAAACATGTTGCCAAGTGGAAGTCGATGAATGCCATCTACCGCAACCGTTTCTCGTTTTATGTAATCAGTTTGAAATAGACTTAATTTTCTCTGAATTTTCCTTTCACATTTTCGTTTATTGGGGTCTTTTATAACGTGCTACATATAGAGTATGTGTTTTTGCTCATTGTTAACGTCTGTACGATGACCTGTAGTTATTGACATCGTTGTCCTATGGTCTTTGATGGGCAGTTGTAACAGTTTCTATCGTATTTAAATTCCTTATTTGTATACAAATAAAGCACATGTGGAATAATTATGGACAACATAAATGTTATTCACTTATCTTCTCGTGAAAAACAGATGAACAATGATTTTGAATCACCTAGTTCACACTGTTTTACAGTTATTAGAACGAGATAATGCATGCACACTCTCATTAGAATCTCGTCTCAATAACCTTTTATATCTTTTAATGCTGACAATAATTCTTTATTTAACAAAGTTAACTCATATAAAAATAACATTGAGGCCTTCATACAAAAAATAAATACATACAAACAAATAACATGCATACATATATAGATATAATGTAGCGTAAATATTGAATAAGCAATTGATATTCGATAGGAAAATAAATTAATAAATTACATGTATGTGTATTTAATTTCAGGTATATTCATTCTGTAAAGTTAGAAATAGTTTGAACACATGATCTTAAAAAAATCTAAATATATGATCAATTTGGCAAATTATTCCAGATAATAAGACAAGAGTTTTTAAATGTTCTTTTAAAAACCAGAATTCGGTCTACTCTTAGCACATATAGACGCCCTGATCGGTCGTTGACCTATGCGAATATTATATAAATGTAGATAATCAGGTGATATACCATTCGTAAATTTAA